CCACTCCCCCTACTTGTGTTCCCTCTCTCGCTGTCTCTCTCTCTGTCAAATAAATAAATAAAATCTTTTTTAAAAAAATGAAAATAATAATAATGTGTGTATACACATATGCACACGTGTGTGTATACACAGATGGTCCCTGACTTACAATGGTGTGATTTACAATTTTCTCCTTTGGGATAGTGTGAAAAAGCAACAGGCATCCAGTAGAGACTGCACTTCCAATTTTGAATTTTGGTCTTTTCCCGGGCTAGAGATAGGCGGTACGACTGTCCCTCATGACTGTGGCAGTGGCAACGAGCCAGGGCTCCCAGTCACAGCCACACCATCAAGAGGGTTAATAACTGATAGGACCATCCTGGGCCCACACGGCCATTCTGTTTCTCACTTTCAGTACAGCCTTCAATGTAGGACATGAGATATTCAATCCTTTATTATAAAATGGGCTTTGTGTTAGAGGATGTCGCCCAACTGTAGGCTACTGTGAGCGTTCTGAGCACGTTTATGGTAGGCTGGGCTAAGCTATGATATTGGGTAGGTTACGTGTGTCAAATGCATTTTTGACTTATGATATTTTCAACTTTATGGTGGGTCTATTGGGATATAACCCCATCATAAATCAAGGAAGATCTGAATACACAGAGAGAAAGAGAAAATGACAAAGCAAATATGGCAAAACTGATGAAGCTGGGTAAACAGTATAAAAAAACTCTTCGTCCTAGTCTCAAAAAAACTGCAAATGATTGTTTTTTTTATTTAAATGCAGTAACGTCTATTAAAGTACCTAGCACACAGCTATTGTTTAGCAAAGGTTCTCTTTCATCCTTCCTCTAACCACCTCTGACCCTTGAATGTATTTTTTTACCCATAAATGTCTGGGGTTTTTTGTTTGCTCGTTTTGTTGAGTGTTGCCAACATTTAAAACTCATGAGTTCTTACCCCCCCACCCCCAAAAACCCGATTTCCATCTTCTCTGGAAAATTTAGAGCAGCCACGGGGCATGGGGCAGGTGCTGGGGGTGGTGCCTCCTAGCCGGCTTCACCCCCGTGCCCCACCAGCTGGACCCCGGGTTTGGGACGGCGCAGCCCTCCAAGCACCTGGAAGCCGTCACTGGAAGGAAGAACAGTCAGTGTGGCTCTGCTGTCAGCAGAGGTAAGTACTGCCGAGGAGTCGGGTTCCTCCCGGGCCCCTCCGAAAGAAGTCTTAGACCAATAAACGATGTGTCTTAAGACTCACAATCCCTTGCCCCACTTACCGTTGAGAAACAGCTTCTCCAATTTCTCGAGCAGCCCGGCACATTGATTCAGCTGCTCCTGGAAACCCTTGGCCACGTAGTGATCCACGTCGCTGGCCTGCAGCAACTGCTCGAATGCCTTAATCATGGCGTTCATATGTTGCCGGTAAATGACGCAGATGCCGTGGCTATCCTTAATCTGCTGTCTTTGAAGGGAGAGCTCCCTGGCCTGGGACTGAACTAATGAATCGTACCTGATAAAAGGTGGGGGGGAGAGAAAATGCTTGTACCATTTTAGAATTGAATTTTTGTGACCTTAACACTAATTGGAAAAATGACAGAGCACAATTTTTAAAAGCCTGCAGCTGTACAAGTATATATACTTCTAGAAAATGGGAAGTCTGCAAGGTCACTCCTTCGACTTCAAAACAGCCAACAAATGCTGGAACAAAGGTTCTTCTGCAGTATTTTTCACCTTATAAAGCCCCCAATTACAGTACAGTTCTTGCCAGAACTCAGGAGGACAATTGGTTTCCATAGGCTCTTCAAAAATATTATTCTGAATTATAGAAACAAGTGCTCCAAGGGCCGGGGGACCTACCACAAATTCTCAGGAAGAACAAAAAAGAAACTGTAACACAGGAACACAAAAACGGGACTCTCTCCTCTCGACCAAAAGGTCAGGGAGTAATCATAATCCTAACAACCATTTATGGAGGGTCTATGACCTGTCAGTCACTGCATTAGGTGGTTTTTTTTTTTGTATAAGTTAACTGCTCCTCGCAATCTCTAGACAAATGTAGGCACCTCCTCATTTACAGAGGAACGCGACTCTGAGATCGCAAAGTTAAATGGGGAAGGTTCCGGACTCAAACACAGTCTGCCCTCAAAGCCCACGCTCGGTTGTACAATCCTACCTCCTGACACCAGATCTGTCTCTTCCTGTGTCAGCCCACGAGTGCTCGTTGGCACGGAGCGAAACATAAATTAAGGAAAACGTGGCTCCTATTAACCGTGGCCACAGTCACCTGGCCCCCACGTGGCTTGGCAAAGATGCTGACCCTTCAGTTCAACGTGTTGCCCCTTCCCTGAAATGAGGACAGCACAAGGACTAGGGTAGGACGCTGCGGGCCTGCGCACTGGCCACGGCTCGGGGCAGCACCGTCGGCGTCCTCGGGCCGTCTGCTCAGTCACGGCAGGCTCTTCGAGCCTCAATTCCTCATCCACAGAAACACGTTTAAGAACGCCCCCTTTCCGGGTGATTTTGAGGAATAAATAAGAAAGTGCCTACCTGGGGGTCTGACACGACTGCCTTTCAATAAATACAAGCTTCCCCCCATCTTGGTGTTTGGGGAGGCTTGAAAACATTCACTCTGGCTCCTGACAATTCAGAACTATGTGTTTGTCTCAAATAAGTGACGAATGAAGGTCAACTTTACAAATGACCACTTTTTAGTCATAGCTCATAAAGCAAAACTGTACGTCTCTATGCCCGTAAAACATGACCTAAGAATTCTTCTCTTTCTATGCAGGCTTATTTCCTCTAAGATGACCTGAAAGGGTAAAGATATGGAAAACATTTATATTCTTCCCACCCTGCCTAGGACATTAGTTTCAGTCCCACAGTAAAAGCCAATAATGGGGTCCAGGAGTAAACACTGCCGTTCAGCAAATGTGCCACAACTCACCAAGTGACCGGAATAATACCTTTGCCCTGAGTTCCCAGCCTGACGAGGGCAAAATCCGCTCTGCCAATTTCAGAAGACACAAAATGAGAATGTGTACAGCCACTGTTCTTTGTGGCCTCATGTTCACCTCTCCACAGGGCCCAGCTGCCCTAAACCCACCATCAAGCCTTCCCCAGTACACAAGCCACCCCATCGCCAAGCAGCATTCCCCTGTAGCTCATGGGCTCCGACCTAGTGGCAACACAGGGGAACTGCAGGCTTCAAGAGTGGGAGAAGCAGTGGTGGGATGTACCTGGAGGGTGAGAGATCTCTGAACTTATTCTGCAGGTTATGGATTTCACTGAAAAGCTCCATGTTCAAATCCTGCTCCTTCTGCAGCTCGTACTCCTGTTCCACTAGCTGCTGTCTGAGGCCCTCCAGCAGCCTGCCATCGGTCACCTCTGGAGCCAGCTGATGAAGGATCTTCATGTGCTTCACATAATGTACTTGGTGCAAACTTGAGAACGTCATTTCTTCTTCGTCATTACTACCCTTGGGCTTGTTCAGGACGTCCTGGCCCCCTTCTGTCCCACACAAAACTGTGATAATGGCCTTGCTGCACTGGGAGTGCTTTTGAAGCTGAAATATGAAATTCCGGTAGCCCTCGAGCTCAGTTTCCAAGTCACAGATTTTCTGTTTTAAGTTTTCTGTATCACTTGAAGTGTCGACGTTCTCAGACTGATGGGTCCCAATCACACCAACTTTGGTGGAAAGCTGATTCTTAGAACTCAAGTAAGCAGCAACTGAGGTTGGGCTTGGAAAATCTTCAGAAGGATTCCCTTTGCACGTTGGCAAGATGGCAAGGCCATCGGGCTGGCAAATTTCAGAGGCTGCGAATCAGACACACTTATGTCAGTACCTCCTTTGCTGAAATCTACCCCCTCTGTCCCTGCACAGCCTAACAAGCCTCTCTGACTCCAGTCCTTCCTCTTACCTCTCAATCCGCCCTCTTCCTCAGAGCAACTATTCTAAAAAGTGAATTTGACCATAACCACCAACGCCGAGCTAAAATTCATCAATATCCCCACTATGTTGAGGATTAAGGCCAAACTCCCTCTTACAGCGTCTGGGACCCTCCACAATCTAGTTCCAGGCAACCTACCCAAGGGCATCCCCTCATATCACCTCTGGAGATTCCCAGAATTCCTTGCACACACCAGGCTGTTTTGTGTCTCTAGGCTTTTGCACGTGCTGTTCCCTCTGCCTGGAATGTATCTGGTCCTCTACGCCTCCTCAATGAACTCCTACTCATCCTTTGACACGCAGATCTAATTCTCCTTCTGCAAGAGCCCATCTTCAAACTAGGCCAAACTGTCCCTCCCTCTGTGCTTCCACAGCACCCTACACATATCACCCCGGACACACACACCATGTGCTGGGTGCGAACGTAGGAACAACACCAGCTTGTTTATTTATTTACACAGCAATTAGTTGTTTGGATTCCTCTCTCGCTCCTTCACGGGAGGGACTGGCTTTTCACCTTCGCGTTCTCGGGGCCTGGTACGTACAGTACACCACCCAGACCGGAAGTCAGAAGGTCTGACAAATACTGGGGAGGGTGTGAAGTAACATTAAAGAGCAACAATTCTAAAACCCGTATGACTGAGGACAGTCTTCGTTTCCACATCTAACAGCTTAGAGGCGCCGCTAGTCCCCTCAGTGAGCTGTTCCACTGCTGCATGACCCCGCTGGGGACTGTCTCCGGACAGCTGGTTCCGACCGCCACACATGCGGCCAGGCTTGTGTGAGCCGTGGAGCCGCACTGCAGAGAGAAGGCAGAGCCCTGGAGTCGAAGAGATGGGGGACCGCACCCAGCTTTGCCACTTGCTGTTGACACTGCAGCTGCAGGCAAGTAATTTAATGTCTCAGAGCCTCAGTCTCCCCCCAAAAGATGTCTAAGCTGCTTGTTGCGAAACTTCTGGCTCAGGCCTGAGTCCAGAGCTTCTGTCCTCAACCACATCCCACCCTGCCCATTGGCCAGGGAAAGCTCAGCTCAATATAAGGTGTGTCTAAATACTTAGGAGGCAGCAGTATATAGCAGAAAAACCCATCTTCACAATCCAACCAGATCTGGACTCTGCCACTTACTAGCTGCGTGACCTCAGGCAGGTTACTTAACCTCTCTGAGCCTCAGTGGCTTCATCGGCAAAACGGAAAGAACAGCATTTACTGTGAAGGACTGTGTTTGCTGTGTTCTGAGGATCAAAGGGGACGGTATCTGGAAAAGCGTCTGGCACACAGTAGTGAACGAGCCCAACTAATATTGATATTCTCTGCTTCCCTCGAACTACTGGAAGATGGAAGAGGATGCCTATCACAGGAGGCAGGAGGCACGCGAGCAGGGGCGGTGGACCAGGGCAAACGCTGCAGAAGCAACCATATGGTTTGGACGACAGGGCCTGGGAGAACTCTCAGAGGGAAGAGCACACAAAAATCTTCGTCAGACTGTATATTCCAATTTCTGGGTTCTGTAACTGTTCTCGTGGCTGTAAGCCCATTCTTATCTCTCTGTTCACGATGCAAACACCATAAAATAACTCTTTTTATTTTAGAAAGCAGCTGCTACATGACCTAAAGGAAGCATTCGTAATACAGCATTTCTACTATACAAAATCTGTGATAGTCACTAGGGTCAGCGGTCCCTCGGGGTACAGACATGTCATTCATCTCCGCTCTCCGGTGTCTGGCACAGGGCCTGGGGCAGAGAAGGTACTCAGTAAGTAACTGCTGGCTGAATGAGTGTAAGAGACAGACAGAGACAGAGGGAGAGATCTCAACAGGCTTCTTTTCTGGTAAATCACCTTCCAAGTCAAGGAACTATCTGTGCCTAATAACCTCATGATAATGGAATTTCCTGGCAAGAAACAATGTTCGTTCACTCAGGGGAATAAAGATCAGTTTCCATAATTTTCCTTAAGTAATCATCAGGCAGAGACAAACGTAGTAAGACCCACACAAATGTCCTTCTGCGATGCAGACTATGGCCAGCTCTGACGCTTAGCTACACACACACATACACGCATCTCAGAATGGGGTTGGGGGGGAGGATGGTGTGCATTCTCCTACCAACACTTAACCTCCTATTTAAGCTCTGCTCCTCACAACACAACAAATCTAACATTTACACACTTGCCCCCAATCTACAGCAGCTTGTGATTCAGCAGCGGTAAAGATCTGGTTTCTAGGCTCCAGGGCCAGTATCCAGCATGTCTCACAGCCCGGCATCGACACAGCAACCTGATTTGCTCCTCGCAGCTCAGTGGCCCTCGATGAAGGGCCAAAGGTGGATCTTTCATTTAAAATCACTGCAGTGGAGGGTGTGGGAGAGGGAGGATCACAAGCTGTAGTGTACAGGGTGAACCTGCAGGTTTAGCAAGGCCTCGGACACACAACTATGCCAGGGCCCAGCCGAGCACCAAGCACCTCACCTATGTGAAGACTAAATGGACAGCCTTCACAACAACCCTATGAGGCGTCACTGGTTTCCCCATTTTACAGAAGAGGAAATTGAGGTTCAGAAAGATAAGAACTTGCCCGAGGGTCAGGGCGAGTAAGCAGCAGAGCCCCTGCCTCCAACACCCTGAATGCTGCCCCCTGATGCATCTATCCCTCTTGCAACTGCAGTCTTCCATATCAGGAGTGCATGCGCAAGAAGAGACCTTCCTCAGCCCTCAACGTGAGGGCCAATAACATCTGGGGAATCCCCTGCATTCCCTTCTCAAGGATCTATCAAGGAGCTACTGAAGAGCAAAGAACAGCGAAGGCGTCACACACAGTACCAGTTTTGCTGAGGGCAGTCACTGAGCAAGTCAGTTCGAGATGGAAACGTTGGGGGGCTACTGGGAGTGTCTAAATAACTGAGGGACTCAGGAAGGCCTTCCCTAGAAAGTGACACAGAAGCAGAGACCTAAAAGACAGGGCATCGATTAAAGGGGGAACATTCAGGCAGAGGCACCAGCATGTGCAAAGTTCTAGAAGCACATTCAGACAAAGGAAAGTTCACTAATGCTGGGGATTTGGGAGGGAAAGGGAACCTGCCAGTCAGACATGAAGCCCTTAGCAATCACCTAGCTATAAACAAGAAATCCAAAGATATCCCCAGGACCATTTATTTGCATTAGAGGAAATACTGCAGTTCTGGAACTTCCTACGATTCAGCTAAGGGTACTATATTGCCTGGTCGAGTGGCTTTCTCCTCAAAGCCCCCAACATTCAGAAGCATGTGACCACGTATCCCCTGCACTGACTAGAGGCCTTGGGAAAGCATACACCAGAACTCAGTGCTTCTGCAGAGACTGGCGTTCTCATAGCCACCCCCTGATAAATTTAGAATTCCTGAAGACAATTAGTTCTTACAGAATGAATTAGGTCCAGATTAAAGGTGACTCTTTTTTAACAAAGGCAGAGGGGGGTGGATCTAAGGTAAAAAGGAAAAATGTCAGCATGCGTTCATTCTGGTTGAATGGGAACATGAATATTCTTTTATTATCCTTTGTGCTTATCCGTATGCTTAAGAAGAAATAGATCCCACTTGCCTGGGACCTCACTCATGTCCCTGTACCTTTCCCACTGAGCGACTTGACACGGCCCACACACCAGGAGGCAGCTCGGGCTCACCTCCGACCCACCCTCCTGGGCGGCGGGAGGCCAGCGGTGCCCACCTAACCAGCCAGCACCCAGCACCACACGGAGAACTGTCAGGCTGCAGGGTTGGCCGTGGGGTCCCTGAGCACAGGTACAGCGCCCGCCAGCGCCTGGCCCACTGCTGGGGAGAAAAGCGTGACAGATGGACCGGTGAACTCAGACACGCAGTCTACTGTACCCCGCTCGTCGACCCACTTACCAGCTGGATGACCCTGGACCAGTTCTTTTTAAAAACCTCAGCTTCCTCGTGTGTTAAGTGGGAATAATGACGATGTCCTAAGATGCCCATTGCGGGGCCTAGTAACAATTTTTCTATGAAACACCCCAAGGAGTGCCTGGCACACAGAAGTTGTTCAATACACATAGGGGTTGAATTCTGACCGGTCTCGTAGCTGGTGTGCTGGTCACTGTCTCCTTCCTTGTCTCTCCAGACACAGGGCATGGTTTTAATTCCCTTTTGCTCTCCCGGGCTGTCCTGGTAGGCTGCTCCCACAAGGGGCTGGGCTATAGGCATTCACGAAGAGAAGGAAAAATAAATAAAACCATAGACTTGAAACTTAGCCAAGCAACTGAGAAGAACACAAAGATACAACAGAGAAAATAAAAACACTGGGGAGGCAAAACGCAATTTATAAGATAAAATTAATCTATCGAGCTGCCATAACAGGACATAAAAAGCATAAATATACTGCAGCTTGTCTGAAATGGTTTAAGTCCAGGCTCTCAAAAAACTGTAAGTGAGAAAATGAATTCTATAGACTCACGCCCACTTTTCTGGAGAAGAGAGAGGCCTCAAGGACTACTGGGCAATTGCAGGAGTAGCACCTGGTCGAGGCACCCTGGGGTCTCGGCAAGAAATAAAAACAGTGGTAACTACATGGGCGCCTGGGTGGCCCAGATGGTTAAGCGTCTCCCTTTGTTCGGCTCAGGTCATGATCCCAGGGTCCTGGGATCGAGCCCCGCATCGGGCTCCTGGCTCCGCAGGGAGCCTGCTTCTCCCTCTCCCTCTGCCTCTCCCCCTCCTCATGCTCTCTCTCTCTCTCTCTCTCTCTCTGTGTCTCAGATGAATAAATAAAATCTTTAAAAAACAAAACAAAACAGTGGCAAGTGCATACAGCAAGCCCTGGACCAAGTGCCAGGGCCTCTGCTGGGCTGAGGCACCTTTGCCATAAAACCTTTCCTCCTGGAAGTGTCCCTCCCTTCTGCGCTGCACTGGTATGTTTCATTATCTGCCCCTTCCCACTAGACAGGGAGTTCTCAGAAAGGAGAGACTATCTCAGTCCTCTCCATCTCTGTCTCTGTCTCCTACACCCACTGCATGAGGCTGGGAACACAGCAGGTGCTCGGGGAATATTCACTGAACGCATGAATAGATGTCTGCATGGATGGATGGGAGGATGGACGGATGGAGAGAAAGTGGGAAAGGAAGGAGGGAAGGAAGAGCAATACTGCCAAAAGCCCACTTATCTTGAAACCTCCACTGTGGTGAACCCAAGAACCTAAAGATCAATGGAAAATACCATGGGCTACAGGTCATCAGAAAATCCACATGGAGGGTGTCAAGATGCTAGGCTTTATGAGGCAAGTAAAGGGCACGGGCCTGGAAGTTAGGCAGGCCGGTTCGAATCTAGCTCCGGAAGTCAGTGGCAGTGTGACCGTAGCCAAGTCACTTTATCTCTGAAAGTGCTGCCTCATGCTAAAACAGGGATGACTGCTGTTCCTGCCTCAAGGACCGTTAAAAAGATTCCATTAGATCATGTACTTAAAGTGAGCAGTGAGGCTGAAAAAATAACAGGAGCTCATCTCATTACTGACACAGGAAGAGCAAGACTCCCAGTCGCCTCCCAGCCCTGAGCGACCTGGAAAATCTCCACGTCAGATGCAGTCTCCCACCCCAGAATGCCAACTCTTCCATGGCAAAATCCCAAATAAGGGGACGCTTGGGTGGCTCAGTCAGTTAAGCATCTGTCTTCAGCTCAGGTCATGATCCTTGCTCGGCGAGGAGCCTGCTTCTCCCTCTGCCTGCCAATCCCCCTGCCTGTGTTCTCTCCCTCTCTCTCTCTGACAAATAAATAAATAATATCTTAAAAAAAAAAAAATCCCAAATAAGCTCAGTGTCCTCCCTGAACATGCACCTTGCCCCCTCATTCTAAGGCCCCGGGCGGTCCCTCGGCACTGCTTCTCCTGCGGCTGTCCCCCCAGAGTGGAGGCCAGTCCCTGGCCATCTTTCCCACATCCCCTGTGATCCCAGACCTGGAAGAGTGTACGTGCCTTCGCCCTCCGCTGACACCTCCTGGTCGTGCTCTCTTCCCTAAACACTCCAGCTCTGCGGCTCATGCTGCCAGACCTCCAGCGACTACCCGCCTTGCTGCAGTCACCCGAGGTCTCGAATCCGAGTCCCCTGAGCCTTGCTGACAGCATGGCTCCTAACTGCCCTGTGTCTCCGCCCCGCTTTACGGTAGAATTCCTCAGAGCTGTCTACTCTTGGCATCTCTGTTCCTCTCCTGCACCAGCTCTCTGGAACCCGTGCCAGGCAGGCCTCGGCCACACCAGGGCAACAGCTCCCTCCAGGTCACCAGTGATGACTCCCCATTACTAAATCCCAAGGCCGATCCTCAGGCCTTGTCTTACTGACTCACAATATTGGATACAGCGAACCTGCTCTTTACTCAGCTTCTGGTATCATCCTCTCGTGGCTCCGTCCCTGCCTCCCTGGCTGCTCCTTTTCCTTCCAACCCCTACTCACTGAAGAGTCCCAGGCTCGGTGCCTGGGTCTGTTCCCTGTGTCGCCAAGTCTCAGAGCTTCAAATACCAGCGATATGTTGACATTTGCTAAACTGAAGGCCCTGTATCTCCCACTGCAGACCTGGCACCACCATGGGGCTGGTCAACAGGCGTCTCAAGGAGTCCCAAACCAGACACGGGCTGCTGGTCTCTGCCTCTCCCAGCTCAGGGCAGGACAGCTCCATCACCCTGATGGTTCGTGTTACCAGTGATCCTTTCGAGCACAGGTCGGCCTACTTCCCTTCAAGAGCCAAACACAGAACATTTCCGGCTCTGCCAGCCACAGGGCCTCTATCACACCTACTCAACTCCGCAATCCCCGTGCCAAAGCGTCCCAGGCAACGTGCAAATCCGGGAGTGGCACGGTGCTCCAAGAAAACCTAAAAACGGCCAGCGACCTTGGCCCACAGGCCGTAGCTTGCCCATCCCTGCTTTCAAGCTGAAGTCAGATAACATCACTCCGCTGCTCCAAACCCTCCATTTCCGGTCTTACCTGAGTGAAAGACAAAGCCTGAGAACGGCCTCGGCAGGCCCACCTGATCTGCCACGTCCCTGACCTCCTTCCGGCCTCCTCTTCCCCACTCCACTCCGGCCACATAATTGGCCTCCTTCCTAGTCATCCAACATCCCAAATTCAAAGCAACATCAGGGCCTTTGCCCTTGTTCCTGCTGCCAAAAACGCACTTTCCAAGCTGACTGTTCCCCTCCTCTCCTCCGGGTTTGTGTTCAGATGTCACCTCCCCGGGGAGGCTCTAGGATTCCGCGGACGGCAGCACACTCTACCCCGCTCCACATTGCCCACGCCCTCAGCCCTGCTTTCCCTTCCTCCCCAGCACCTGCCATCTCTCGCATGCTATCCCTGCTCATCAGCGTACTGTCTTTCTCCCCACAACAGGAACGGAAGCTAGACACAGACTTAGATCATCTGTTTTATTCACTATGTCCCCAGGGCCTAGCACACAGCAGGGTTTCATCAATACTTTTTGAATAGATAAATAAAAGATTGCTGTTGTTGTTCTTGGTATTATGTGTTGCTGCCGTGTGCTTACAGCAGAAGTTCAAAATCAGGAGTCAATATATGTACTTCTGTGGACTCATGAACCCTCTGAAAACGAGGTCCAACACTACCTGTGTGCTCACCTACACTGCTCTGTGATAGGGTTTGGAATTAGACCTGAGGAAGCCAAAGTAATGTAGCCTGGACATTCTAGAAAACCCCACCAAGAGGGTTCTCACTTATATACATGATGCCATATGCCTGAGGCTTCCACAGACAAAGCCAAAAAAACCCACCCAGATTCAAGTCATCCCACAGCTGGGGTAGCTGCAGACCATCCCAAGTGAAGGGAGCGGTGAGCTCACAAGACCCGCGAGCACTTACAAGTCCCCTTTATCCACACTCCAGGATAAAATGAAAACAATAGATTCATTTTCCTTATTGTGTTCCTTTGAGTGTGTATTTGTCAAGCGTCAAGATTAATCACTGTAATTCATAAAATTTATACTCAAACTTACTGCAGTTCGAAACAACAAGTTTGACATTTCAAGCAGCTCTATCAGGTCGTTCATCTAGCTCACGGAGAATACATTTTTCTCAGTGCTTACCTTTCTGTACCGTTTTGTCTGGCGCTGGCCTCCCCTCCATCATTGCTTCAGCCAGAATTAACTTTTGGTGAAGTTGCTTATTGTGGATTTTAAACTCCTTCAGCTCCCCCTGCAGCTCCAAGACTTGGCCCTGCAGCTGGGCTACCATCTCCTGGGTGACAGGGAGCCGATACACATTTCCTAATGACCGGGACGGCTTTATCAGGATGGGCAGGCGGGACTTCTTAGCTTCCTGAAGAGACACACGCACAGGACAATGAATGCGCTTCCTCTGGTCACAGAGGCAACATTCTCATGCCAACCTCGTAAAACAGGATTCAAACCAGCTGTCCAGACTTCTGGTTCCTAGAATGGCATCTATGTTTATCTCCCAGTCTACAGAATTTGTGTCTTGGCAGGTCCCTCTTCTGACTGGCAAGTGCCAAGATTTTCCTCCTCGACACCCTCCTGGCCCTGGCCCACTGTCTCTGTGGACATCCAGATGCTCAATATATGGCAGTCCTTTCTCCAACACAATCTTCTAAATAACATTTTCTTGCTCCGTATCTATTTCCTCATTCCCACCCCTCCACCCGCTCCTCAGTCTAAGCCAATCTGCTAGTCCACGAGAACCACCCCCGAATGAAGTTCTCCGTGGCTACCGAGTCACTAAGCCAGTGGCCATCTCCCAGGCTCAGAGCTCTGACCTGCCTACCCTCAACATCTTCATTTCCACTGGCTTCCAGGTACTCTGAAGCCAGCCCAGCACTCAGCTCCTTCCATCCACCACCCAAGTCCCCACCCCAAAGCTACGTCGCTTCAACACTCTCCGTCTTGGTGAATCACACCACCATCCCCTCGCTGCGCAACCCAAACCTGCGAGTCTATTGAACTGCTCTTTACACTCATCACCCACTCTCGCCACTCGCCAGGCTCCATTAATTCCAGCTGAGCTCTTTGGACTCTCCTCATCCCCCACTGCCTCCGTCCAACCCCGAGCCATGGCTGGCACTGACCTAGCCATGGCAGCCACCTCCTGAGTGCCCTCCCCCACTCCTTCCTGCCCTTTCTAGTCCACTCTCCATACTGCGGCAGAAAAGGCAAACTTAACATTCCTCGCCTCTGCTTGCAACTACTGGAACACTTCCCTGTCTCTTTGACCAAGGTCAAAATCCCTACCACAGCTGCCATGCTGTACATGACCTGCAGCCCGAGTCACTTGCCCCTCTGCCACCTCCCCTATTCCCACACACTCACCTTCTATTGGTTCCTCAAATGTCTGTGTTCCTTCCACCCCAGGGCCTTGGCATACACTGTCTCCTCTGTCTACAACACGCTTTCTTGCCCACCTCCACCTCTTCCGTAATCCCAATACATTCATCAGGACTCCACTCATATGTGTCTTCCTCGGGAGAATGGGCCTTGATTTCCAAGACCAGATCAGGTCTCCCTGTTAAGGACACTCACCACCCCCTACAATTCTTTAGGGAGAACATTAGTCCCATCATAATTAAATGCCTGTGCAATTACTTGTTCTTTGTCTACCTTCCACACTGGCCTATAAGCTCCAGGGTTCAGGAACTCTGCATTTCTTGGTCATACTCTATCCATAGCTGCCAGCACAAGAACACAGTAGGTACTCAACAACTATTTGTGGAATGAACATACAAACAATAACTTAAGAGGCCAGATGGGGGTGACTTTCAAGTGGGGAGAATTTTAAATACATTCAAAAGTTGGGGAGAGGCACCAAATCTAGAATATATAAAGAGCTATTACAATTCAACAGTAAAAAACACAAATATTGACTCAATTAAAAGATGGCCAAAGGATCTAAAAGACAATTCTCAAAAGGAGACCTATATATGGCCAATAAACACATGAAAAGATGCTCAGTGTCATTAGTCATCAGGGAAATGTAAATCAAATCACAATGAAATATTGCCACTCCCAACTCATTAGGACAGCTTATGATCAAAATAATAACAAGTGTCATCAGCAAGGCTGTGGAGAAACTGGAACCTTCATGCCTCTGGTGAAAATGTAAACTAGGGGCAGCCATTGTATTAAACAGCCCGGGGGTTCTTCAAAAGGTTAAACACAGAGTTCCCATATGACCCTGCAATTCCACTCCTTGGTGTTTACCCAGGAGACGTGAAAACACACGTCCACGCAAAGACTTGTGCATGAATGTTCATAGTAACGTTATTCATAATAGCTAAAAAGCAGAAACAGCCCAAATGTCCATCAACTGATGAATGGATAAATAAAATGTGCTACATCCATACAATGGACTATCATTTGACAATAAAAAGAAATGAACTGCTGCTATAGACTACAGCAGAAATGCACCTCGAAAACCCTACTAGGCTAAGCAGAGGCGGTCACCAAAGATCACACGTTATACGATTGCATTTATACATATAAACATCCAGAATAGGCAAATATATAAAGACAGAAAGGAGATCAGTGGTTGCCTACAGCTAGGACAGATGGGGGAAATGGGAAATGACTGCCAATGGGTCAGGGTTTCTTTTTGGATAATTAAGCATGTTCTAAAATTGATTATGGTAACGGTTCTATAACTCTATGGATATACCAAAAACAAAATAAAACAAACCACTGCACTATATTCTTTAAATGGATAAACTGTATGATATGTGTATTATACCTCAATGAAGCTATTATTCTTTTTAATTTCTTAAGTGGAAGAGAAGGAACCTGAAAAGAAAACAGGAAATACCTGGGACCCTGGGAATGACGAAATCAGCGAGGTCGCTCAAGCAGGAAAAGGGAGGAAGGAGCCCTGCTTGCACACTCTAGGGTGTAAAATACTTTCAAGCACACTGTCCCACAATCCTCCTGTAAGCTCACAGGATAATAGAAGTTACCAGGCCTGTTTCTCAGACAAAGAACAGCCAGTCCAATGTCATACAACAAGAAGGTTAGAGAGCTGGACCTCACAACGGCTCTCCAGCCTCTATTGCTCAGTTAAGGAAAGTGAGACACTCTACCCCAAAATTCCAGGGCAGACAGCAGGTTCATGGCCAAGGACAGTTTGAGGTGGTGAAGGGAACCAGTGACAGTTGGGGGTGGGGGGGATGCCTCATCAAAGAGGACTGCAAAATAACAGTCATTTGCTTGGTCCTCGGTCTCCACCAATCTTTATTCTTGGATCCAAATCTGTGTGTCATATGGCAGGAGAAAAGATATCTGCAAGTGCACAAATGCCAAAGCCAATTTCAGGCTGGAAGACTGCCGTCAGTCAACCTAATGCGGGTTCTAAAATAACACCACACAAAATGCTACCTTATGGACACTGTGCACAGTCCCACCTACCACCTTATTAAAGATGTCATAATGGAACGCCTCACTTGGGGGTGGAAGGGGGACAGGAATGCACACACACCGATCCTGACATGCACCTACACAACCATGCACAAGGCACCAGCAGGCACCTGCCACACATTTCCTCATGTCACCACTGCACCAGCCTCCGGTTCCAGGTCACACTGATCCCACTTGAGCCACCGAGACAGGTAAGTGGCCAGGCCTGAAGCTATCAAGGTACATCTGTGATAGTATCCCTCACTGAGGGCTCCTCCCTTCCTGAGAAAGGTAGGTTTAGAAAATCCCTGTCTTGGGCACCTGGGTGGTGCAGTCAGTTAAGCATCCAACATCTTGATCTCAGCTCAGGTCTTGATCTCAAGGTCATGGGTTCAAGCCCCACACTGGGCGTGGAGCCTACTTAAAAAAAAAAAAGTATACTCCTGTCTGCCTCTAAAACTGGACTTCGGTCTATATTCCTACTACTCCTCTTAACAGCTGACTCACTCTGGACCATTTTCTGAGCCTTTCAGAGGCTATATTTCTTCATATGTAAAATGTAGGGAATACCTACCTAGCTAATACGCTTGAGAAGATTAAATGTGATGATATAGATACAGAATGTCTAACACGATCCTGGCACAAAGAGCAGATGCTAAAAAAATAAACACAGTGGCCTTCCTTTTGAAGACACAAGAAGGATAATTCCAAACTAAAAAAAAAAAACAAACTTTTAATATATTTGGGGAAATTAATGAGTTCATTCGATTATGCAATTTTTCTGCACAAAGGAGGCTATCTCCCACACAAATTGGGGGAAAAAAACATCTAGTCTTCCTAATACACAGGTACAAACTAATAGAGCTGGGGCAGATGAGACCATTTCTATTCCAGCCAAACTGCACAAATTTACATCTGGAGTACCGTTAATATAATGGCAGTGTCTTTTTTTTTTTTTTGTCTTTACTGGTATCTTTAGAAAACCCTTTTCTAGAAATTACAGTTTTGGTGCATAATTTAAAACAATCAAAAGCAATTTTGCTAATGATATATCTAACTCCCTTTGGTATGCACAAAAGCAGTAATTTAGTGGTCAGAAAATAAACTTAATTCTCCATTCTGATGCTATGAAGCCGTGTGTACAGCTGATTTCTCAGATACAAAACACCCATCAGAAACGAGAACACCAACAGCCATCACTGGAGCTCTATTAGAAACATGACCTACTTCTCCACCAGAACACTGACATCTCCCTGCTTTGGGGATCATCAACTCCAACCCCTCTGCCCACGAGGATTTTAGTAAAAGGTCCAATCAAATACTGCCAAGAGAGTCTGGCTTTTAATAATGTGGCATATTCGATGGTATTTGAGGAGAAGCATAGAGACAGCATCTTGACTGAAGCAAAATGCATCCCCCCCACCAAAACCGGACCCTACCACTCTGGGCCAGCAGGAGCTGGGGCTAGCCTGGCAAGGGGTTTGGCTGCACCATCAGCCCTGTAACTGCTGGCTAACTGTGGGCATTCAAAATCGGGCTTCCTCATCTCTGATGGGTGTCGCAAGGATAAGAGAATGTAGATGAAGCCACAGAATAGAACCTCTCCGCCAGAGTCTGCACAAGATAAAACCTAGGTTCTTGGCCCTCCTCCTGAAGTCAGGTTATCACAATTTCACTGCAATGTGCAAACGTAAATATCCACCAGTAGGTGAAAATCATACAAATTTTGGCACATTTCCCACAACAGAATCTTACAGAGCTGTTACAAGGCAAGATGTTCCTGATACATAGCATGAAAAAAAAAGGTACACACAGATGTATAAGTAGGACTCTGTAAGGAAACTGCATAAATGTCATGATGTACAGACAAATAGGACTGGGCTAGACGAACACATACCTCTAGGTAGAGGCCAGACTAAGTGCAGACAGGGGGAGACACCAGATTTTACACACATCAAAAAAAGCAATGAGAGCAGAGGTGAGTTTTTAAGCCTTTCATTTCTATAAAATAAGAAAACAAATAAATAATAGAAAAGCTTACTTTGTCAGTCCCGTTGGGGAAGGAAAGGGCAGTGCCCTGCCTCCCCGGCTCCATGTGTGAGTTCTCCGGCTGACCCTCAGTGTGAAACACGGCATCTGGTGGCTTCTCTTCCCAAGCCTCTCTCTTGCCCTCATTTTGGAATCTGAGCGTGTCATCCTCCGCGGCCACAGTCTGCACGGAGGCATCTTTCAGCTCCAGCTTGGACATTTCACCCATCCTTCCTAGCTGGGCTGTCCGAGGCGACTTCCATTCATCGTGGGACTTGGACAATGAGTTGACTTGGGTGAAATGTCCGAGTTCACCTCTAAGCTGAATAGCCATTTGCTTAAGGGACTTCTCAGTTTTACCATCAAGGTGTTCCGCAGACACTCCCGGCTCTGTCAAGCACATTCGTTCCAGAAGTAGTTCACGCAGCACTTTCAGAAGGTCTGGCCTGTTTTTCCAAAAGGGAAGGAAGTGGAAGAAGTAGGTTTTCTGCTATAGCCTCATGCCCTACCCGGTTTCCCACGTTTTCTCCACTGACTGGCCCGAAGTCTGTTTAAACTAAGCACACCGGGGCGCCTGGGTGGCTCAGTTGGTTAAGCGACTGCCTTCGGCTCAGGTCATGATCCTGGAGTCCCGGGATCGAGTCCCGCGTCGGGCTCCCTGCTCGGCGGGGAGTCTGCTTCCTCCTCTGACCCTCCTCCCTCTCATGCTCTCTGTCTCTCATTCTCTCTGTCTCAAATAAATAAATAAAATCTTTAAAAAAATAAATAAATAAAATAAATTAAGCACACGGACCACCTGCCATGTGCCAGGATCTACCACCAAGGATTTTATCCCATGTCACCTCATGACAACCACACACGGTGGGTACTGCCGTGTCTAACTCATGGATAAGAAGAGGAGAATCGATTTGACACAAGTACACAGCAAGTGAGGCGGCCACGTGCTGTAAGGACGCAGGCTGGGCCTAGAAAGGAGCAAACAGGGTCATCAAGTATCCTTGACAATGACAAGGTCCACCCACCCACTGGCCCCATTCCTACATCCAGGGGCGAGTATGGCTTGGGTGGACTGGTCAACCTGATGGACCCATGAGTGACCTGGCCCATCACTGTGCACAGTCAGTGCTCAGTATATAGGTACTGAATGAAGGGATGCTGCAAACTACTCGGAACAGAAAGAGTAGTGGCTTTGAAATCACACAAAAATGGCTTCGAATTCTAACTTGGAGATGCTTTGGAAGTAGGGTAAGTCTCCCTCCACAGGACAGCAATGAAGATGAAACAAGAGAGCGTATAGGTAGCAGATACTTTCGGGCCCTGGCCATGTGCCCTAGGCTCCCGCAGACCCCAGCTACAGCTGTTTGCACACTGTGTGGACGGCACCCAGAGGCACAGACAGTCCCACCTATCCCTGCCTCTCACCCCTGCCTTGGGGCTTTCCCAGAGCTCCCTGAGGCCCCCAGCCAGGCAGTGGGAGGTGGGGACCTGTTTACACGCCGTGTGAGCACCCACAGGAGCCCCTCCCACTCCGCTCTAAACACATGTAAGTGACAGCAAAATACCATAAGGTGTACTACAGGCCTCGAAATCAAGGTAAAATTTATCCAAAGGTCAGAAACAGAGGAGGAGACCCCCAGTCAGGAGAAAGGGGGCATTTGCAGAAAGCACTGGGGGCAGAAATTTAACTCCCACAGTGGAGAAAACCAGGGAAATCTCATGAGCCAGAGGCACCGGCAGCAGCCCACAGGAGGAGGAAGGAGCGCGGGGGACAGAGCAGGGCCGTCCACACCCGCAAACCAAACCTGCACACACGACCCACTAGTACGACAGACAGGCCACAATCCAACGAATCAGAGTTCACACTTAAGAAAATTAAATTAATAAGGCAACCTGAAGATTTTAACAGAAGTATGTGTAAATCACCTAAAAAATAAAGGAGAGGGACTCATTTAAGAAAGAAGAAAGAAACTAGGAAACTGAGACAGGAAATTAAGGAAAAAGGGGACCGGAGCGGGCCAGGACAGAGGGAGAGGCCTGCGGAGAGCTGCTGCTGACATCCATGCCGGGCTGAGGTCGAGGCGGTGAGCGGTGACAGGGGACAGAAGGGGCCCGCCTCCGTGCTGCGCACTTTCTCTTCTCTCTGCCATTCCTCCCGCCTGCCTTCGGCCCAGACCAGCCTCTACAGACCGACTCCCTGAGCGCACCCTGACAGTCTCTGCCCCGTATCTCGGCTACCACTACACGTGACAAGTGACGTGAGGCCTGGTTCCACCTTCCCCACAGAGCCCTCCAGGAGCGAGGGGAAGGTCCTACTCCCCTCTGGGTTCCAATCATCTAGCTCTGGGGCAGAGTCAACTCCGTTCAGATCACAGAGCGATCTGAAGCAGGGTAAAAAATAAAAGTTTAAAAAACAAAATTAGAACGTATGGTACATTTTTCACTTCTAATACGGAATCATTTAGACTACACACACCATCTTAAAATTTAGTAAACCCAGACTTTAAAAATATTTCTGGCACTTCAAGCATGTTAAACTAAATTTTCCTTTCCTCTCCTTCCCTTAATATAGATTAAAAATAATGACAACTGCTATTCAGCTAGCCCAGGGAAGACTGTTACTCACCACCAAACAACACACAATAAAACCCGGAAAAAAGACTTTACAAATGGGTACTAAGAGGTGGTGAAAGAGGCCATTAGAATATACTAAAGTGGGAGAGCTGTTAAATAAAACATTTCAAGTGTTATTTTGCTAGAAATCTGAACAGCAGATTCATTAAGCCATTGCCGTGATCAGGACCTTTTTAATGGTTCAGTCGAGGGTCTTGTCAGAGGCCTGAACATTGTTTATATACCCTTCCAGAGGATCTTTGCCACAGAGAGGTATAAGGGGGGAGGAACTGACGTTTGTGAAGCACTTGCCATGTGTCAGGTCCTTTAAATACGCCAATGACATTCAGGCCTCGCTGTATGACTAGGAGATGGGGCCAAAGCTAACCCCATTTTACAGTTGAAGAAACAGTCTCATAAAGATTCAAGATCCCCTAGCAAAGCTGCAGAACAAAGACTGGAACCCAGATCTTTCTGACTCCGAAGGATCACTACACTCTCCAGTTTTCCACGGTCACCTTCTGCTGTGATGTTGGGCTTCTAATTGTCTCCACTGGCACTTAAATATTTATTGAGCACCTGCCATCTGCCACGTAAGGCAGTGGGCATGCATGGTGCAAGGGAATCATGGGGCTCATATTTCATTGAGAAGACAGATGTTCATGCAAACATTGATAACGAAATAAAACAATGTACAGCAATGATAAGTACTATGAATTAAGGGAGGGAGGGAGGAAGTCCTGAAACCATGTGCAGAAGCAGGATTTCCCGTTAGTGGTCTGCAAAGGCCCCTCTACAGAGCTGATGTCTAGCTGAGACACCACCAGTCACATACACACCTAGGAAAAGAGCATTCCAGGTAGAGCGAACGGCTAGTGCAAAGGCCTTGAGGTGAGAACCAGCCTAGATGTCTGGGGAGCAGAGTAGAGCTCGGTGAACAGGAGGGGTAGGTGATAAGGACAGAGAAAGAGGCAGGCGCCAGGTCAAGAAGCTCTGATCTTACTATAAGAGCAATGGAAATCTGCTGGAAGGTTTTAAGCATGAAACGGAGCTGATCTGACCTAAGTTTTATTAAAAAGATCACTATGGCTGCCCTATGGAGAATGGACAGTAGAGAAGGCTGTGTTGCTGGTGTCCACGCAAGAGATGGTGGTGGCTGGGACCAAGAGGGACTTCCTAAGCAGAAGACTAGTGTTTCGCTGATGAATCAAATCCTGGTTACCCCAAGGAGTCTTTGTAAAAGACTCCTCCAGAAAGTTCTCCAATGGCTCTAGCATTTACTAGCTAAGGGAATGTCAAGTCCCCAAATGTCAGCTCCCACTTTTATAAAAAGGAGATCACCAGGAGCAGCATGCAGAAAGCCGGTGTGAGGGTAAGATGAGACTGGGCACGCGATGCCCCGTGTGTGCACCAGGAGGGGGTGCAGACCACGGCCGGGCCTCCGGGAGGACCCGCGGAGTCATGACTCCACTGTCATGGGCTTTGGCAGTGCACCGTTCAGCTGTACAGAGAACTAAATCAGGGCTGCAGATTTAGGCTGGTGTGAGAAAACCTTTTCTAACACTACAACTGGCCAACCAGGTCCAGAAGCCTATGGAACAGATACCTCCAGGGCACAGGGAACTGAACCAGAGACGTCACAAGCTTGCCCGGCAGGCAGAAAATGCTTTCTTAAAAAACGTAACTAGGTCTACATTTTTAAAAATCAAGAGATTTAGAATAGTTTGGGGGCTTCCACTGAAAGACTGGAAGGCTGGGAGCCACAAAGGTCAGCTGGGGCTGAGAAGCTCCTGCCCACCGGCAGGGGGCACACGTGCCCCGGCTGGCCCCATGCCCACCGCAGCCCACCAGACTTGCCCCCGCTCATGTCACCCCTGCGCAGTCCGAGGCGGTCCTCAGACAGAGAGCTGCATCTTTGAACTCTGATGGAACATTCGGGACCCTGACATTGAGAAAACCCTCCCTCTCTCAAGCGCTGACTATGGTCACCTAACTGCTTGTGATAATTAACCAGAACCGCCACTAGACAGGTGCCCCAAGAGGACCCGTGCTAGAAAAATGTTGGACAGATGCCAGGGATTGGGGAAGGGTCGGCCTGCCTGAGCTCACAAAAACAGAACACTCCAATCCTTTTTTTGGCTAAAGAATGTCTGTGAGGCTTAGTCCACCAACGATGTAAGAAATAGTAGGGTTCCTGGCTCTTGCCAAGAGTCATGGGCAGGAGTTAGCGGCTCCATTTCTCTACCTACACTGGAGGAGAACTGGACAGTTTTATTGAACACACACCACCCGCCTGCCATTTTCCTTAAACGGTGCACTTTCTTACTCCTCACGGCACCCGAGGAAGTGGTCGGAGAGACTGGGGCCCTGAGAGAGGAAGGCACGGCTCCTTCTGGCTCCAAAGCCCAAGCAGCTGTTACGATGGTCTGGAAAGAATGTGCAAGGGGGACAATCTCCTCCCGAAGGGTTAATGTTAAAAATACAAATGTACTGAATGTTTCTCCTTTTTCGTTTTAAGGCAAACACCCTGAAGTATTCCCTCACACAAGACGACTCCCAGCAGATACAATGAGAAGAGAACTGAAGTTCAAGCTCAACATAAAACAGTGAGTTACGACTACAATGGCAGTTTTTAAGCTGTTGCAGGAACTGGAAGAGACTCCAGTAGGGCTGATTCCTCTCACTGACAGGCAGACAGCCCTTCCCAGGGCTCCCAGGACCAATTTCAGACGAAAGCTTTCTTTCTCTCTTTATAATGGGCTTGTACGAGGCTCTGCTGAAGTCCCCTCCCAGCCACTAGCGCAGCCTAATTACTTAATTGCATGACTGGCAAGATTCCTTCCAAGACATTTCAGGGGCTCGCTCAGCTAAATTACACAGCACCGCCATCTAAATCCATTTAGCAAAATGAGTTTGTTCTCCCCTCAAACTAGAGAGAAAAAGCAACCCCGGGGCCCCATGTCTACCTGGATTCCAGTAACAATGTGGCCTTCTCGTTGAAAAAAGGGGCAAGCATGTTCAGGAGCTCGCCTTCTTCTAGACTCTGGTCTCCAGGGCAGCCAGGTTTGTGGGTTCCATCGTAGTCTAGAATACTGGAATCTGTGTGCTTCAAGTATCCGTTTTTGCAGCCCCCTTTGGAATAATCCTCCATGACCTGCAAATCAGAGTATTTGGTCAAAATATGGACCTTGGAAGAGAGGAAGGGCGTACGTGGAGGAGAGGGAAAGGACAGAGACCAAGTGGGAATGAGCAGTGCACGCAAGCCAGAGGGAAAAGGCAAGCGGGACAGGGCAGACAGCGGGCTCTGGCTCACAGGTCCACACACGTGCCTTGTCACTGGGCGGGCAGATGCTCCTGCAAGAGCACCGAGAGGTTCACACCACTTCTCCTCAACCCTCACTTCCCTCATCCACAAAATGGGGAGAGTAATGTCACCTCCCAGGGTGACCATGAGAATCAAATGAGATGACTGACTCACCTAAGGTCCTGGCAGAGTGTCCCGCCCACCACGGGCACACCCCCCCACCCCGGCCCACTCCTTGTGAGTGAGTTAAGAAGGGTACGGAGCCCACACTATGAATGATGCTTCGGACATCTATTATTTATCTACCTCTTGCGATGTGTCCTCCCCGTTATATATCAGAAAGGCGCCTTACTCTTTACACAGACATCCTAATTAACATGACTTTGATTTGTCTCATTAGGAAAGTAGAGAGTTCCTAATTCCCAGGGAGATGTTATTTACGGATCCAATTTCTGGGGTCACTGAGGGCCCCAGAGGAGTGGTACCAAGGATGCATCTAGTTAAAGCTTGTACTGGGCATGTCTTGAGGTGCTGCTATTAGCATTCTTTCCCCCTCTTCCCGAAGCTGTAAATTTCTTCTACCAGTCTATAAATAACTCCCCTTGACTGCATTACTGCTGGTGATATACACACTAGCCATCACACCCCTCTCTCACACTTGTAAAATGATTAAGATTTTTAAATGGAAGACAAGACCCACACAAATTAGCTGTTATTTATAGGGTCTTGTTTGCCACCAATCTAGTTATTAAATCCATCTAAATAAGTAACCTCCAAAAAAGGAAAAGTCTGGACTATCATAATACAAAGAGAGAGCATTTACTGAGCACTTGGTACATATCTTTCTATTTAAATATCACAAAAACTCCAGCAAGGACGGATTATCGTCACTGATGGAAAAACTCAGGCTTAGGGGTTAAGCAAGGGTTAACTGAGGTCACAAAGATAAAGACCAAGACTCAAAATCAGATCTAATTTGAAAGCCCCCACTTTGAATTGCTTTGCTTTCCGAAACCACCTACATTTTAATGATCTCGCGTTCATGACCTCAAGAACTTAAACACCTTGAAGGTTACGAATGCCAAATCTGCAGCTTCCTCTGTCCCACCGCATCCCAATCTTTGGGTTCTTTCAACCTCGGAGAATGTTTGTCCCAAATGCCCGGTATCCATGTGACTGGAGGAACATTCTCTAAAGGAGTCAAATTCTCAACAATGCCCACATGACACTAAGCTGGGTTCCAGGTTGGAGACTGGAGAGGGCCCCTGAGAAGTGTGTCCTTATACTGCAGTCAAATGATCCAGGACTGCACATCAGTCCAGAGACACAGGCTCATGTCCCAACTCGGTCACTGACTTACCCTGTGCCCTGGAGAAATCCCCTCCCCTCAGAGGTCTCAGTTTCCAACGCATAAAACGAATGGGTGGGGTTAGATCTCTAAAGATCTGACCAAGTCCAACATCTAGTGCCTGTTTCTCTCCTACCCTGTTTTCATTGGCAACTCCACATCTTGCTGTTTCTCGACTGGCTCTACCACCTCATTTGTAACTCCTGAGAAGGAAGAGACCTAGCGTCTCTATCTCCCCTGACACTGAGTAGGCGCTCGAGACGGGCAGAATGAACAGAAGAGCCAGCGGATTCATTCCAACCTGGAAGGCTGGCTTGGGTACAGAGAGGGGAGGATGGAATTGGAGTTGACTGCCACATTCCTACCTTGTCACTCTGCTCCAAATGCTGGTCACTCGGGAAATTATTCTCATCATCCTCTCCAGTTCTGGTCGTGTCCTCGTCCTCCTTGCTAGCCAGAAGCTACACGGAGCATGGAATGGTGTGAAAATGCAACCCAAAAAAGTGCTCAGCATGAATATGTATGAGTAAGTCACTGATGTCTTTTTTTTTTAAATGCAAAACAAAAAACAAACCAAAAAGGAGGCAGAAACGAATGCCAAAGCCAATGAAATAAAAATTAACCAAAGTTAGCGATGCTAGTTCTAGCAAATCACACACAGCTGCCTAGGATCGGGCATAACTGAAAGACAAAGTCCCCAAGAAATACTGGAAGCCACTTCCCCTGCCCTCACAGGGCCTTCCCTGAGCTGCTGTAAATTGATATGCTGTCTCTTGTGCGGCTGCCATTCCTGCCATGGCTAAATTCCCTTACAGATTATATAAAAGTAACAAGATTTTGGAAAAAAGCTATTGATGGAATTGAAAATATCAAATAGCAAGAAGGCAGTAAATGAAATTTATGCTGTGCCCAATTTATGCATCACTTCTCCTATTTAGCACAGGACATAAACCTCTTTTTGGACTGTCACACATCTGAGATGGACAGTCCCAGCCACGCTGTCATCTTGCTGACAAAAAGTCCTCATCACTAATGAGTATCGAGCTTGCCTAACAATAACTTTATGCTCTGGAAATGAAGAACAGTTTTCTATAAAGACCACATAAATCCTTAATGCTTTAAAGAAGTGCAAATCCCAAAGCTTCTGCATTGTGAGAATGGCCAGCATATGTTCTCAAGAGGGCCAGATCGCCGCTGGCTGGAAGGGCGAAAATTCTAGTCCTGGGGCACCTGGATTAAACCAAATAAAAATGGAGAGGAGGGGTGGCCACACCCAGGGAGGTCATCAGTCAAAACCTCACCTCACGGATGAAACTGTAAGCTCTGCACTAAAATGCCAAAACCACAAACAGTGCTGAGTCACTGGCTGGCCATGTGGTACATACAAGATTCCTAAGGCTGTCTCTACAGTTTTACTTATGAATTCCTACATTTAGTCCATACTTTTCCCAGACCAACTTACATTTTTCTGATCTTCCCTTTATAGGAAATCCTTATTTTGGAAGAAAGCAAACAAAACAAAGCAAACTGACTTCATGAAGTCATTTTATAGAAACTTTCCAGGACCAGAACACATTCAACCTAACCATATCCAAATCTGCCATCAGGATCAAACAGGACAGATGACCTTACAAATCAGAGCTTCCCAAAAGATCGAGCATTAAATAGGCTAGCGAAGGTGTGAACACACTTACTAAGGCATAAAAGTTTCTACATATGGATGAGGAGCTTCTCTCCCTCTCTTGGCGTCTTCCCTCATCATTAAAACATTCTCAAGTGATAAAGACCAACTAGGACTATCAAACTTGGTGGGAATACAAAACGTTAGTTAGACTACTGTGGAAAAAGTACCGGCAATATCTTCTAAAATGAATAACCCTACAGCCCAGGAATTCCACTCCTAGGTATTCATCAAGAAAAATGAAAACAGATGTTCCCGTAAAGATCTGTATGTGAATGTTCATATCAACTTTTATCATAATATCCAAAACCCAAAACAATCCAAATGTACATCAACAGCAGAATGAATAAACAAGTTTTAATATATTTACACAATGGAATACTACTTAGCAATAAAAAGGAACAGGTTGTTGGCTCACATAACATGGATGAATCTCAAAAACAGTATGCTGAGTGAAAGAAGCTTTACACAAAAGAGAGTCTACACGATGATTCCATTTAAGTGAAAGTCTAGTGCAGGTAAAACTAACACATGGGTGGACAAAAGAAGAAAAATGGCTGGGGGTAGCAGCGAGAATCAATGAGAAGGGACACGAGGGGTCTTGAGGAGGTGTGGGTTAGAAAGGAACATACATTTGTAAAACTTAGTGAATACAGACTTAAGATTTCTATATTTCAATGTATGTAAACTTAACCTTAAAAGAAAAAATAACCATAAACATACACCGAAGTTAAAACATACGTGTGGAAGTTATTTCAGAGGAAGGAAGTGTACTGGTATTTGTAATTTACATTAAAATTTATCAAAAAGATAAGATGGAGTGACGATGGATAAGTGGGGCATGTTAACAGGAGAATCTAGGTGGTGAGTATGTGGGTATTCACTGTCAGGTTCTTCTCTTTGCTGTGTTTAAATTTCTTTAGGATAGGGGCACCTGGGTGGCTCAGTCGTTAAGCGTCTGCCTTCGGCTCAGGTCATGATCCCAGGGTCCTGGGATCGAGCCCCACATCGAGCCCCGCATCGGGCCCCCTGCTCCGCGGGAAGCCTGCTTCTCCCTCTCCCACTCCCCCTGCTTGTGTTCCCTCTCTCGTTGTGTCTCTCTCTGTCAAATAAATAAATAAAATCTTTAAAAAAAAAAAAATTTCTTTAGGATAAAATGCTGGGGGAAAGTCTCTCCCACCTTTTAAAAAACAAAACAACAACAACAGTCTCTCTCTGATTCTCCAACAGCTCTGGTCACTGAGCATTCTCTGCCTCTCTCCAAGCTTCTTGAAACAATTGTCTACCCCCACCTCCTGCAGTGTGGCTTTTGTTGCCAACACTCTAGAAGTTGCACGTGAAAGGTCCCCAGTGATCTTCTAATACAGGAGACAGAACACCCATGGGCTTAGCGAAGAGGCACAGAGAAGCTCCTCCCCGGGCCTGTGGATAAAGGAAGGGCCCCCATAAGTTAAGCTAAGCAAAACATTGTTCACTCACACCATTCCAAGTTGAAATATCAAAAGTCATTCTCCGTTTCCTGAGCCACCACCACACCACTGCCCAATACAGTGAAATAAAGATTAACTTTCGTTTCTCTTTACCTCTGCTGACTTGGTCAAAATGAAAAGTAAACTCAATTTCCAGCAATGGCCAAGAAATTAAATGTGGACATAGAGAAATGTCCCTCACTCCACATGTGAATGACTCAGTGGCAACTTCTTGGCCATTTTCTCCTGTCTTCTGAGAGTCCTTGGCCCTCGTAGACACCCCCTCCCGAAAACGTCGCTCCATAACGACTGCACTCTCCTGCTTCCACCCCGGCCTCCTGGGCTGTTCTTCCTTGATCTGCTTTGCTGGTTCCCCTTCCTACTCCAGGAAGAATTTCCCTCGACCTCAAAAGAAGGCCAGGCCCCTGTCCTCGTGTTCCCTTAGCACTCTGCATTCTTCCTCCACAGCCCCCACACCCCCAACACACACACACACACACACACACACACACACACACTCGGTGGCAAGTACCCTCTGCCTCTCTGCATTCCATACTGGTGAGGGCAGTTCTAAGATCAAGGCCTGGTGCGCACTAAAACACTGCTGAAAGACCAAACGGATGAATCAAGAGTCTTTCAAAATGAGAGCTGAGACCAAAAGGTTTTCAGCATTATCACTGGTCTCGCTACTCCAGGGCGTTCCTCAGAGCAACAGAAGCTTATGAGAGATGCAGACGCTCGGGCCCCACGCCAGGCTCACGGAACCGGAATCTTCATTTTAACAAGACGCCCAGGAAAGTCACACGCATGTTAAACTTTAGAAGCACTGCCCCATGGTGTCATGGAAACAACACTGAACAGAGTCCGAAGAAGGCTCTAGTCCCAACTCTGCCACTAACTTGCCAAAAAAATTAAATTAACTGTTTTACTGAGTGCTTACTACGTGCCAGGCACTGTGCCAAGGGCTCTTTATAAATCATGTAAAATTCCTAACTTATGAAGTCAAACTCTTAGAAACCTCCTCCTTTTAATGAAATTCAATCTGCTTCTGACAAATTAAATTTTATTCTGCTACTAATAGCAGAATTTAACAAGCATCTCCTCCTTCTGAGTACCATGTCTGTCCTCTAGAGTCACACAACGTCTAGTTCTTATTCAACACGGCAGCCCTTCAAATACCTACGTTCAATTAAATTATGCCCCTCAATCCCTGTTTTCCCTCCATGCCAAAAAAAAAAAAAAAAAAAAACTTGTTTTCTAGCTATTTCTAAAACTGATGACATAAGTAAATAGTAAGAGAGACTAGCTCTTTCTGCACACTCACACATGCATCCCCTTAACGGGGATAGTTTCACACATCACAGGGTTTGTGGTTTGCAAGGCTCACCCCTCTGACTGCAGGCTGTTCCAATCACTCCTGTACATCAATTCTCAACCACATTTTATAATTAATAACCAGTAAGTAAACATAAAGAAAGAGGAGCAAACTGATTAGAGATTATTTTAATGCCCTTTAAAAACCAAAGGACACCTGTCCTCAGTCTTTTGTTTGTCTGGTTGGTTTTGAAGTGAATTGCCCACATGCAGGAGTAAGCATTGTCTACATCAGCTGGAGGGAACCCATTCCAGGCAACCATTTTGAGGACAAACCTGACAAACTACATCAAGGGCCTCCTACTATTTATACCCTTCGTCAAATTGAAAGTTGCAGGGGGAGGCTACATGAAAATAAATTATGCCTATTTTATAGCTGTCTCTATCGCTATCTGTAATTTTGACCTAGCAATTACATATCTGGGAGTATAGTCTAAGGAAAAAAAAAAACAAAACACGCTAAACCCACAAAAAAGATTTGTGTCCAAAAACACTCATCAGGTAATTTAAAATAGTAAATCGCTGGTAACAATCTACATACCCAACAATAATGAGGCGGGTAGTTAAATTTCAGTGCCTTCGTAAGATAAATCATAAGATAAAATAAGATGCTACAACATAACAGCAATTGGAAAAAAACAGGAAACAAAACCGTATATGCATTGTGGGCCTGCACGTGTTCATATACACAGAGAAGGAAGGATTCCAAAATGTTAATTAACTGTGCATGTTTTAAAGTGACAGGATTGGGGTAATTTCTTTTCTCTATTTTAACCCAATGCTGTGGGCTAATTAAATATTGGAGAAAAATACTGAATTTTGAAAACACAAAATAGATTTGCTTTCCCCACCCCCCCCCACCCTTTCTCTGATTTATAGGCTCTCGGGAGCAGGAACAGTGCCCAGCCCCCATTCTGCAAGTCCTGCTGCTCAGAAAAGGCTGTGGAAAGCCTGGGCATTTCCCGGCCTCATCGAAGGAGAACCACACGCACACCCAGGGCACAGCAGCCTCCCCTCTTCGCCATCCCACCCTCGCCCAAGCGACCTCTCCTCCCTCAGCTCGAGATCACTGTGGGAACAGCTTCCTTCCCACTCGGATCTTCAGACCTTCCCACCCCATTCCGGGGGAAGAAGGGAAACGGCTACACAGGACAAGGCTATTCACAGGGAGCATCAAGTTGAAGTGCAATCTGACAAATGATTCAAATCGGAATCGGCTGGTATTAAGATCTCAGAGTGGGAAGAGGGAAAAGCCTCTGTTCTCCAAAGGACATAATGGGACATTTAACAGATTTTTTTCAAAGGGCAAATGAACAAACAAACTCGCCATTTACGACTCAAATGAAGTAGGTGAAGAATGAGCTGCTTATTAAAAATGCTGCCTTGGAGAAAACAAACCAAGAGACTTGTTTCTCCCTAAATGGACTCCAGATATTCTTAGTTTCCAAAATTATCTGGAGCCCAGGAGGCCAAGATCAATAACATCCCCTCTCTCAAAGACAGCAGATGGCCAGAGCACAGCATAAATACCTGTGAGCGGCTCCCCCTTTGAGGGTGGGAGGAGACAGCTTTAAGGCTGACAGATCTTTCCCCAGAATGTGGCAACGAGACCTACTTTACCTGGCAAGCTAGGATGAATTCAAGGCAACCCTAACCAAGAAGACTGAGGGGCCCGGGACCCAAGGACAAAAAGGCCCTCCTTTTTGGGAGTAAGAGAACAGCTCCAGTCCTCTGAGAAAGGCTAACAGAGGCCCGGGGCCAGGCTCTGCCCATGGGGGAGTCAAGGGCTAAAGGGAGGAAACAAGCTCTTCCTCACTGGCACGACTTCAGGGTCCCCTGCTGTACACATGGGCCAAGAATGGAGAATCGGAGACAGCACCTCACAAAGATGAGCACAGACCCAGAAGGGACCGGGCTGGATGAGGCTTCCCTCGTCTCTCCCGGGGTGGGAGGGCTAACTGGGTGGGCGAGTACATGAGCCCAGCAAACCACAGGCCATTTTGTGGTCCTCGTGGAGACACCATGATTTAACCTTTCCTGGCTCTTTCGGACTTTCAAATGCCACCAGAGGAAAATTCCCGCGGCCCAAGGGCTCTGCCCGGACAGGCTGTCAACTCCCCACCGCGTCCTCCACACAAGGCAGAGGGCAGGAGTTCCCAGGTATGTGAGGGAAGGGATGACACACATCCAGTCAAATCTACCAGTCCCGAGGCCATGAGAGTGAGAAGAGGCACAAAACTCAGCAGATGAATTCTCATTTGTTTTACTCATTTTTACTCATTTGTTTTTCAATGGATTCGTTCAAGCTGCATCTACACCACCCAAATTACCTGGGTGACGTGGCAACTCTCCAGATCCCTCCGAGACCAAACCACTCACCCAGATGTGCCATGTGCAGCACAGACCCCAGGGCAGGACTCGGGAGTCAAAAGCTATCAAAACATATCCAGTGTGTCCATGCAGACATACCCCAAACTTTGAGGAAGGCTGCTGACCAACCAGGGCCCTCAAAAGCACATCCAGCAAATGGAGTTTCACCAGGGGCCTCCTCAGGATAGATGCAGTCTGGAAACATCCGGGGGGAAGGTACCATTTTGTAGTTAGCACATAACACGACTGTTTCTCCTTACCTCAGATTGTTCTGTTGACTCAAGTCTGTCACCTCCCTGGAAACCCATGCAGGAGAGATCAAAAATGGTTTTCTTCAGGTGCTGGTTGTCTGTATACAGTTCCTTCACCAGTTGTATCAGGTCACTGACCTGGGGGATAAGAGCAGAGAGAGAAGTGGCTGCCCACCAGCCGACCTTGGCTTCCCAGGGCCCCGGCCCCACACACAGACCTTCCTACTGAGCAGGCTTCTCAGCACCACAATTACAAACGATTGGGCAGCCTGACTCCAGTCTTCAGGGTGCAGTGAAAACAACACCAGCATGCCTGTATTCTAATCCCCTCCAAGGCAATCCTGGGCTAAGCCTCCACTTCCTCATCTGTGGCATGGGCCAATGTGGGAACTGATCGGGATCATGGTCACAGTGCACTGAGGTCCTTGGCAGAGGCTACGTGCCCTGTCAATGACAGCTAAGACAATCTCCGTCTGGTACTTGAGGCCCCCTGGAGGACAAGCCCCCGAGACTGACATTTCTGAGACTGCGTCAGAGCCTCCTTTTAGAGCATCGACCTTCTTCTTTGTATACCTATCTAGCGATGTCAGTAATAATAATCATCTTCAATTATAAAGCAATTTACAGCTACTAAAATACTCCCACAAGCTTTAGTCATTCATTCCTTACAAAAATCCTGAGGAGGTGGACAGGCTAGAATGACTATTCCTATTTTACAATGAGGAGCCGACATACAAAGAAGTTTACTGCCCAAGGCCCCACGGCTGGGGACGTCTGGGGAATTAAATGACATATAATGACGGTCAAAGTGCCTCGCCAGGTGGGAAAGGGCAGCTGCCTCCACAAAGGCGGAGCGGGCCTGCAGCTGAGGTCCCAGGGCTCCCGGTCCAGTGCTCCTCCTTAAGGCGCGGGTCTTGCTAGACCAGGTACATCAGCAATTAAGCAGACGCCACCTTTGTTCCCTACAAGCTTCAAACCCCAATGGCTAGTAATTCTGCAGACTTAATGGAGTGAGCATTAGCCCCTCCAATAAAGTGGGAAAGCTCCCCCTGACTACACACAGCAGATGTCCAATACAGCAACACATGAAGACAACCTGGACCCAACCGCCGAGGTTGTAGCGAGAAGAATGAAACATTCCAGAAACACTAAGTGCCAACCACGTGAACTACTTCCTGCCCTGAAACATTGCCACAGGAGGTAGTCAGCTGCTACCATCATCCCCATTTTCTTCGTCTTCAAAAACTGAGACACCTCAATGCTCCTTGCTCCACTCCTCCCCAAGATACTGAAATCTTTAATTCTCCTTTCTATTCCTTCTAGTACCTTACACCTACTTTCTCTCGCTCTCTGCGGAGAAGGCCCTCCGCCTAGACAAACTCCTATTCATCCTTCAAAACCCACTTCAGGCCTCACTTCTGCTGAAAAGCTTCCTCTGATCAAGTGGGCACCCCCCCCAACCCCCGACAATTAACCTCTCCTCCTCTGCTACCTCTCCCCTGCACATCCACCTACTTCAGCAACCCCTGGACCCCACACTGCAAACACCTGTTTACACATCTGACCACTCTACCAGAATGTGAATTATTCCAAGGCAGAAACCGAATTTGTCATACATATATGATAACTGTATAATAAATCACAGTCTTCTCTGAGCTCACACTTCCTACTCTTATCAGTGGTTGTTAGGATCTTGAAGTACTAAACCACTCTAATCACACCAACAACCTACAGACTGAGAAACCTGGTTTCCAGTTTTTAAAAAAAGATTTACTTATCAAATCTGGATCTTTATTCTTCCAGAAAGCACGTATTAACTCCCACTGTGGGTGGTAGGTACTGGAAAATCAAAAATAAGTAAGCTATAATCACTAACTTGAAGATGCTCACAACCTGGCAGGGACACAAATAACCAGGTAATTACAGATCGGTATGAGCATGACATCAATACAGTTAGGTACAAGAGGAGAGGAGAATGACCTGAGGGAGGGCCTGGAGAGCATCTGCTAGAGGAGATCAAGCGTGGGCTGGTCCTCCAGTCTGAGAAGGAGGGTGTCAGGCACGGGGGAGGGCACACCAGGTAACAAACACAGAAGGAACAAAGAGCAAAGACAGGTAGGGAGAGAGGGAAGAAAGGAGAGGAAAGGGGCTTTCAGATTCTTACACCTCAGATCTGGAACCCAAGAGACAACAAATAACCAACAAAGGACTGAAAGTTAACAGGTCAATACCTTTTTCTTAAGTTCTTCTTGAGAAAAATGTTCCACTTGAAACCGATTGGGCTCTTCAAGGCAAATACTCAGATAAGATGTTTGATCACTATAAAATGAAAATGGTTCTTCTGCAAAAAAAAAAAAAGGGGGGGTCGGTGAGGGGGGAGGAGAAAAAGAATATCAGAAATAGATCCTTCCAAGCCCAATCCTAGTATAATCCATATAAGGCAATTTGAATTGGGAAAAGTGTGCGGCGGGGGTGGTGGAGGGGGTCGCTGTAAGGGGGAATAAGTACAAATAGGGAGTTGAATGTACCACCTCTTGAATGTATCAGCCTGTAGAGAAAGAGGGAAAATTACTTTTTCCCTCTTTCTCTACAGGCTGGTATCTCAATGTATGGTTTCATCATGGGCTGCAGGCTTTCACTGTGGCCTATTCTGAATTATAATTTGCATATCAAGTGTTGTACCTAGAGACCACTCTGAGTGGCACCAGCGAATGGTGATTTCAGTTTAAATGAGGGAGTGATTCTGTTTAGGTGAGAATACAGGCAAATTAGACATGACCCTCAAGGGTAGCGCTCCAGGGAAATAAAAGTGCCTGATGTATTTTTTACTGGCCCCAGAGCCCTCTGTGGTCGTGAGCACAGCAAGTGCAGAAATTGGCTGCTAGATCTAAGATAAGAGAATCTCTGGTCACCTGCATAAAGGTCTGTTGCCTCTGCGCCAAAGGTCACATCCCAATAGGGAGGGAAGGCACAGAGGAAGGGCAGGCTATTTACTGAATGACGCATGTCTACAACCACGACCTCATTTAACAATCTGGGGATAAGAGCTGATATACCGAATGTACTAGAAAGGTACACTTCAAAGGAAGATACCCTGGCTCGACCATGGGTAAATCAACCCCCACCCCCAGCCAGAGCCCCAGTTTCTTCATTTGTAAAATGAAGTCAACACTGACACCGGCCAATGGGGTGAGCGTCAGGACCAGAGATGAGAAAGGAAGTGCCTGGTCCTGTGCCTTGTACAGAGCAGGTGCTCCAGAAATGTCAAGCCTACAACTGCTAGTACCAAATTCTTGTACCCACACGTGCCAGGTACCAGGCTTGAGAGAGAAAGGAAAAGGATACTGGTGCAGACTCGCAGGGGCTCAGGTTCTAGTAAGGGAGAGGGCCGAGTGTTGCTGTGTTGAGCACAGCAATGCTAGGACCACAGGCCCCTTACCTGTAGCCCTCCCTAAGGAATCCACTTGTGGTGCGTGCTCTTTGCTAAGAGCAAAGTTTCACCACGAAACAGCAATCTCAGCGCCACGCGTCTGTGCGGTCCAGACTCTGCAGTGGGTGCCCCGCTAGGCAGACGGACGTGACGTGCTGACCCCTTCCATGACGGCCGAAACCAGACACACACAGACTGGCAGGGCCAACATTAACACGGTCACCACAAAAAAGAGGAACCCAGATGAAATCCTGTGGGCTCCTCATCCCCTACTGGAGTTTTAAGACTCTCTTAAAGTTCAGCCAAGGCCCTCCACATGGGAAAACCAGAGGGAAACACATACAAGAGAGCACGCACCTTCCCGCCTCCGAATTTCACTGATCTGCTCCTCCAGGGTCTTTTGCAAATTCCGACAGGAGAGCACGTCCTGCTCCAGCTGCTTCCGCAAAGCGAAAATGCTGTTTAACTCAGCCTGCAGGCTGTTGATACTTGGTAAAACGAGACACCAGAAAATTTGTTTTAAGTTTTTATTTAAATTCCAGTTAGGTAACATGCAGGGTAACATCAGCTTCAAGTGTAGAATGAATATGGTGGCTCAACACATCCATACGTCACCCGAAGACATCAGCCATTTTTAAACAGGCCTATTTGTGCTTTAAGATACAAAAGCCAGCCAGCCTCCCCTTGATTGTTAGGTCATCAGTAGGTTTTTTTCTGGTTATACAAGTAAATACACGTTTATGGGAAATTTAAAATACAAAAGTGTAAGAAAATAAGAATTACCAGGATCCCACTACCAATTAACATGGGGCAGGCTGCATGTCTTTTTTTTTTTTTTAAGACTTTATTTATTTTTAATTAATCTCTCTACCCAACGTGGGACTCGAACTCACAACCCCAAGATCAAGAGTCGCACACTCTACTGCCTGAGCCAGCCAGGCACCTCCAGACTGCATTTCCTCCCCATCTTCTTCCCTGAGTATTTTTACAAGGTGATAATAATACTTGACGTATGATACTGAATTGTGTGTTCCTCACTTAAATATTTCCCTGCATTTCTGCAAATTATTTACAAGCATCATTTTCAATGACTACGTAATATTAATCAGGTGAATGTCCCACCGTTTACTTGAACTCATCCTCTTATTAGTGGACATTTGGGTCATTTCCAAGTTTTTGCTACAGGTGTAAATAGGGAGAAATCATATCATTCCCCAGATTGTTTCTCTGTTTGGAGTAATACCTTGGAAGGACTTGGGTGTGGAAGGGGAGGCTCTCCAGAGCCTCAGTGTCACCTGGCACCTTCAAAAGAGGAGATGAGGGAGAAGAGTGAATGTGTCACTCCTGAAAGACATGGTACTGGGGGTGAAACTGAGGGGCAAGAAGGAAGTGAAAAAAGAAAAGAAAGAGAGGGAGTTGATAACAGGAGGGAGGAAGGGACCAATTTAGGGGCCAACACAACTCTGCTCTGATAGGTCAGCCCCACTCACAAACGCAGAGTGTGATGGATTTTTATTCAGGGTGGGGCGTGCCAAGTCTCACATCTGGGTCAGTGTGACACAGTGTAACCTGCACAGAGAGCCTGCATGAGACCAGCAACCCAGAATTCAGAAGAGGCCATGAAAATGCACACCTCCCAGAATCTGCAGGAATCCTGGGGTGCTGTTCAACAGAACTTTCTGGAAGTTAGAAGTACTCTGTATATGCACTAACCGGTAGCCACTAGCTAAGTGTGCCTACTGAGCAGCTGAAATGCAGCTAACATACTGAGGAACTGAATGGATAATTTTTCTTCGATCCAATGTCGATAGTCCCCTGGCTAGTGGCTACTGATTTGGGTGGCCCAGACCCACCAGATGGGCTCTGGCTTCCTCCTGATGTGGCATCTGGCAGGGATCTGAACTGAGTGCACCCAGCTCTCAGAGGAACAGAGACCCCAGCCAACATCTGTATAACATAAATGATGTTTCCCTGAACATCTCTGTGCCTAAAGCCTTTCACATTCAGGTTCATTTCTTAAGCCCGATTCCCAGCAGTGCAATTATTGGGTCAAAGTATATGAACATGTTTCAAGACCAGCAAAACACATTAACAAATCAGAAAGCCTCCTTTTTTAAATCCTGAGAAATACATCACTCCCTGTCCAGTGTCTGACCTATGGTTCCCTAAGAGGGTCCATCAACACCTTGAGACTATCTGCAAAAATTTAAGAATATGTGGATGTTTCTAAAGAGAGGGCCTGTGAGCTTTCATCAGATTCTTCAAAGCCCCAAAATGGCTAGGAGCTACTGCTCCAAATGTCTGTGCTACAGACTCAAGCCCCACTCTTCCTTCAGAGATTTCTTCCAGCTCCATCCATCGAACTGCACAGATAAATCCACATATATCGGAAGGAAAATAAACCATTATGTCTAATCTTCTATGCTCGCCGCTTTGACGACGGTTCATTGTGAAGCAGTCTTCTTGCCACGGAAGGGGCCCCACCAGCAACCTGTACCTAGTTCCATTTCGAGACAATCGTAATGATCCATTTGTAAGGCTGATGGAAAACCTCACAGAGGTGTCACAGCACTCGCCGGGATGCAGTCGCGCTGCAGAGACACTTAAGCGGGGGAGAAAGGAGACTGCTGCAGCCAAGCTGCTGCGATCAGGGCTGAGGGACGCGGACTGCTTCACTCCCTCTTCCGTTTTCTGACAGGGTGAAAAGTACACAGCCGCTCCCCACCGCGCCTGTCCTTTATGTTTCCCTAACTCCAGGGCCTCGTGCGGTCCTCGTCCTGCAGGGTGGCGGGAGGAGGGGGCGGCCGAGATGAGACGGAGCGGCGCTCCACACGGCCCCGCTGCCGAGCCCCGCGACCTCAGGCAGGTCGGTTAAACTGCCGGAGTCCCGCCCGCCTTCCTCATCTGTGGAATGGGGATAATACCTTCCCTTCAGGACTGTTTCCAGCATTGGGAAAGAGTTTCGCATAAAGCCAAACACACACGAGACACTCAACGGGCATTACTTCCCTCCTCCCACATATCCGAGCGCCTCCCAAACAAAAAAGAGGATGTTTGTAAGCCGAACTTTCTGATTCTCCTGAGTTACAACAGTGATTCCCATCTGGGGACAATCTAACCTCCTGAGAGATACGTGGCACTATCTGGAGACACTGCTGGCCGTCACGCCGGGGCAGGGGAGGGCGCTTCTGGAAGCAGGAGTAAAAGCTGAGATGCTGTGAAGCATCCCACGCAGCACAGGACCCAGAGGAGTTGCCTGGGACTTGGCCCGGACCCACCCCCACCCCAGCTTCCCAGCTTCACTCGCCCCTCCCGGAGCTGAAATGCAGAGCAGCTAGGGCTTCTGGAAAAGGCTCATTTTTAGAGAGTGATGCCTACTCCCAGAATTTCATCGGCATGCTTCTGTTTTCTCTAAACTCGCTTCAGATCAACAAATCTGAAAATGATCTCCTATCTCAGAAGACTGGACACCGGTGTGGGGGGGGCGGTCCTCATCCACTCAACGCTTCCCACGTGCCCACTCCACCCCAGCCACGGCGACAGGCGCTGGGAAATGGGAGCCGCTGAGGAGACAGGGTTCGGCCCTGAGGGGCGCGCGGCCCCGACAAGGGGGCAGACTGGTTACAGACAAGTGCCCAAAGGGTGGCCAGGGCAGCTGTGAGGGCAGACAAACAGCGACGACAGTCTCCTCACAAGGGCAGCCCTCCAGACGAATTCTCAAGGGCCTCTGGGAGACAACGGTAGGGTATGGGGGCCTGTGCGAAGGCAGGGGCAGGAGGGCACACAGCCTGCAGCAGTGAAGACCATTCCAGCCAGAGTGAAAGACTTCAGAGAAGGAGCAGCGAGGGGGGATATTTTAACTTTTTACTCTGGAAATTTGTAAACATATACAAACGAAGACAAGCTCATACACGAGCCCCTCCCCGTCTACACACACCCCAGCCCTGACCACCAGGCAGCCACGGCCACTCTTGTTCCATCAGTATCCCCACCCACTTCCTCTGCTTCTGTACGGTTTTGAAATGAACCCCAGACCCTGTATCCTTTCACCTGTAACTAGCCCGTGTGTAGACAGAGGAGGTCGTAATGTGAGAAATCACTGAGGCGAAGTCTGCACTGGCAAACAGAGGCCCAGAGGGGCCCACTCGCCTGAGGACACAGAGCTAGGATAGAGCAAGACCACTCGCCTACAGCAGGCTCTCTCCACCACACCTCACCGGCACCAGATCATCTCAGCAATCCTGTAAAGATGCAAGTCACTCCAGGACACAGAAGCTTGTTTGAGTCCCTGTGTGTGGTCACTCACCACCTGTGTAACTTTGGACAAGTCACCTAACCTCTCTCAGTGTCCATGGCCTCTCGGAACACAGGGCTAACAATATTACCTCACAGAACAGCTAGGAGGATCGTATGAGATAATACACATGGAAGCACTTTCTAAATCTGTGATAAAGTACAATAAGAACGAGTAATTATTAGGCTATTTTTATCCTACGTTCATTAGGATAAAAAAATCAAACAATCCAAAAATTAGACAATTCTTTTTTTAGAAAGATTTATTTATTTATTTGAGAGAGAGAGAGAAAGTGCCTGGGGGGAGGGGCAGAGGGAGAGGAAGAGAGAGAATCTCAAACAGACTCTGCACTGAGCGTGGGGCCCAACATGGGGCTCAGTCTCATGACCCTGAGATCATGACCTGAGCCAAAATCAAGAATCAGACACTTAACTGACTGAGCCACCCAGGCGCCCCAAAATCAGACAATTCTTAATATAAAATATGGGTATGTGATTTCAGTAAGGCAACCATCACCCAAGCATTTTAAGCTTCCTAAGCAAACGGGGAGGGCTTTGTGGCCTCAGACACCAACCATATTTATTCAAAATACATGTGTCTGCGTATGTGTGTGATGTCCAAACAGTAACCTTACCTGTCTGGGTCCTGCAGAGATTTTACCAGATGAGTATAGATGTCCTGCTCCTTCTTTAAGACCTGAATCAGCTCTTCATAGTCTAATTGCTGCTTTTCCTGGAAATGACAATGGGTATCTGACATGAAGGGAAGAATTTCAAAAGAGTACATCCTGACATTATGCAAACATATGTGGGTAGTTTATAAATCCAGACGGAGGAGATCCCGGGTGCCAGGCACAGTCAGAGAGCACCACCTGCAGGAGGAGTGGGGGAATGACTGCCACCATGTCCCTCCGAACAAAGCTGAGAGCTGCGCTTCCAATACTGAACAGCAGCTACAGAAGGAGCATCGATGCTGCCCCACACAGCCTCAGAGCTGCTGGGCATCGCTTTCTCAACACTACAAACAGTGCCTTTCCACACCTGCGCTTGCTCCAAAGACAAGAAGTTCATCAACCCAAACCTGGTATTAGGGACAAGGGACTTACACTGAAACAGAAAAGGTCAACTGAGCCACGCTGTAACGGCATCCCAAACAGAATGAAGACCAAGGGAGCTGAGATGGATCTCTGCTACTTACCAGCCATGTGACCTGAGGTGACGAGCTAAAACCAGAAGGTGAAAGTCTGAAGAACATCAGGGTATTTACATAGACTCAACACACCTCAAAATACTTATTAATGACAGGGAAAACCGGAACCGTGGAGTCAAGACACCTAGCAGATGCCACCTTCATAAAGTTATCAAAGTGAGCATGGCCAGCAAGGAGACAAATCTAAGTCCATCAGACAGGACACAACGAGAGGACATTCCTGCCAAAGACACCTGCCTGAACCCAATCAACCAGGCAATATCAGACAAACCCCAACTGAAGGACACTACGATAAGATTGGCTCAGACACTTCCAAAGTATGAAGGGCACGAAAGTCAAGGAAAGACTGAGAAACTTTTCCAGATTGAAGACTAAAGAATCAAGACAGAGCAAGCAACGTGTGATCCTGAATCGGGTCCTCTGGCTACGAGGGGCTTTGTGAGACAAGCAGAGGAACACCAGCGAGTCTGAGGGGGCAGAAGGTAGTGAAGGGTCTGCTAATTCCCCACTCCTGATGGCTGTGCTGGGTTACGCAGGACAGTGTCCCTGCTTCTAGCAAGTACACACTAAAGTATTCAGAGGTGACAGGGCTTCACGTGGGCGACTTACTCTCAGATGCCTTGGGAAAAGTAAAATCCTTGATTCTTGAAACGTGCCTCTAAATTTGAAATTATTTCAAAATAAGAAAAGAACGTGAAAATAAAGAGTTAACTTGCAGAATATCTGGCACAGTGTCCTGCATGGACCAATGCTCCCTGAATGCTGGGGGGAGACACTCAGTGCATGAGGAGTCGGGCACCGCGAGCAGCCCTTGTATTTCACGCTGACCTAGGCTTTGTCCTGAAGTTAAGATACCACCTAGGACAGGGGTTCTTAACCCCACGGAAACTGCAGGAATCCCACTGCTGCCAGAGCAGTGTCCGTGTTTTCCTGTGACCTGGTCATCAAAAGAAACAGTTACTTTGTGTACGTTACAGGTATCTCAAGTATCTTAAAATATTTATTCTTATCACTACTTCAAAACTATAGCACTCACTATACCCACCACGCAATCTTGTTGTTGAACGCGTTAGTAAAGAAGCACCACTTCCAGAGCATATTTTTAAATATTCTGATGACCAAATTTCCAAGTAATTGGTTTCCTTTACAATCCTGTGCATATATTTTGTGCATTTAAATCCTTTTCCAGGGAAGAGATCCCCGGCTTCATCAGACTATGGCGGGGATGCAGAGGGCAAGAAAAGGTCATGAGCCCCTGACCTGCGGGAACACTGCTATGCTTCTAGCCCTGAACAAAACAAGGCAGAGGCACCACGTGCTAAGGGGAAGGGTTGCAAATGCTAAACCACCAGTCTGGTCATGATAAGTTAGTTACCCAGACTGCTAGAAATGTCAGGCCCTTTTGTAAATCATGCCACATGTCACTGGCACAAGGAGCTCCCATATGCCTCTCGGGCACAGTGACGGTGTCATGTGGAACTCTCTCGGCTCCCACCTGTACACACCATGTGTGTCGACAGAGGGTCCCAGAGAAGAGCCCGGGGAAGAATTTAACAGGATAACAAGACAATGTCAGCCGCCATGCTCAGTGCTCCCTGGGCTTTTTCTTGTCGAGCTCGCACAACAACCCAATGAGCCTGGGTGTTACCCCTCCCCTCATTTCCGTGAAGAGGGAACTGTGGCACAGAAGGCCACCAGCAGGCCCAAGGTCAGGGGGAGAGGCAGGGTGTGGACCCAGGCACCCAGGCTCTGAGGCCCGTGCTCTTCAGTCCATCCATCAATGGTCCATAGTGGATGCAAAGCACTGGGGTGCTTGACAGGGTCACACTGTCACTATCAACCAAGTAAAAGGCAGCCAAAAGCGTCGAAGAAAATAAAAAAACCTACTGCTTCTTGAGCACCTACCATGAAGGGCAGTGATGGTTAAGAGTGTGCGACCTCACTGTGTGACCTTGAGCAAGTTCCTCAACCTCTCTGTTTCAACATCCGCTCCTATATATGAAAGTAGTGAGTCTACATAGCTCAGAGGGTTGTGAAGGAGATTTAATGAGTTAATCTATACAAAGTTCTCACAGTGATGCCTGGCACAAAGTAAACACTTGGTAAATGTCAGCCATAACTTCTATTCCTATGTCCTGGGGCTCTGCCAGGAGCTTTACACGTATCATCTCTACATGACACCAGGGAGGTGTATTAATCTTCCCATTTTTCAGATGAAGAAACTGATTCTCTGAGAATATTTGAGTCCATCCAGCTAATAAGTGGCAGTCAGAATTCGTGCTTACGTATGTAACTTCAAAGCCAGCCAAGAAGGGCTAGGAAAAGAAAACGGGTAAATATGGACTTCTGCTGGATGGAGTAGACTCCAGGTGTGGAATGCGTGTGCCCAGTGAAACAACCCTGACTCCACGGCCCCTGTATCTTAACTGGATGGCGGTGGGCCGGGCCCCAGAGGACTGCCCTGCAAGGTCAGGGCCTGGATGCCTGGCTCAGCCCCCTTCTACCCTTCTTGCCGATAGCTCTTCCAAACCTGCTCTCCTAAGCCCCCACCCTCCACCTGCCAGCTGACCACACCTGCACTTCCTTTCTCCCCGCTCTTCCTTCTCGGTGGAACGAAAGAACCCCTCCATCTGCGCTCCAGGGGAACTCCTCCCCCTCTGCCCAGACCATCGTTCACCCCTCTCCACTGACATACTCCCAGCACCTTATAGGGTCTGCTTAGGCCAAATTCTCACCAGGAAGCCTTCCTTGACTGAGGAAAATGCTCTCTGCTGGCCCCCAGGGCACCCTGGTTCACTTTCACCCAGAGCTCGTGTACCAACCACCCGTTGACAGGTCTGAGGGCCCCTTCCGGGCAGCCAAGTTCCAAGCCAGGCACAGTACCTGGTGCAGACCAAATGCTGCCACAGACACTTGCTGACCTGACGATTAAATTGGTAAGAGGAAAACACAGGGGCCAACGTGAATCTTAAGAGCAGAGATTCCTATGGATATTTTGCATAACGGAAGTCAGAGTGAGTCAACGTCTTCCTAGAAGCAAATAGCTCACCCATGTTAAATAAATGAACTCCTCAGAGCCATTTGGGTCCCATTTCATCAATCACCTATTCCCCTGCGTTGAATCATGCCCCATTAGAATGAAGTCATTTGGCTCCCTCAGCAGAGCTGACAAACTAGTAGATCTCCTCGGCCTAGAGGCAGTGGGCCAGGCTGCCCTGAGGGGAGTGACAAGAAGCACCTGCTCAGCAGGAACAAGCCACCCCCAAGCCCCTCTGCTGCCCCTCCAAACAAGAAACAACGCAGACGGGGCTCTCATCCCAAAGAAGACCATGACCTCCACACACCTACTTGTGTCTGACTCTGTAGTTTGTTCTCCACGGCCCTTGGTGTGACCACCCAGCTCACCACCATTCCCCGTCTCATCTGGAAACTGTTCCTAAAACATGGGAAAGACACTGGAAGACCACTCTCTCAGTGAGCCAGCCCCCGGGACTCACACTAAACCAGTACGATTCTCTCTCCAGATTCAGAGATTTCAACTGAGAAATCAGAAGCCTGGGATGCTGGGTGCGCAGCGCATCAAACACAGAGTCCCAGAGTCTATGATTTCTGCTGTCCACGGGGCTGCCACGGTTTCACCCTGAGACATGGCTACTCAGCTCTCCCCGGGCACCGGGAAGAGCCCCCAGCACACTCCCAATAAATACTCCCTTTCACCACTGTTACTGTGACCACACTACTCAATGTTGGATCCTACAGCTTACACCCAGAAGAGCCTTAACTAATAACTAATGCATCGGATTATTTCCAATCCTATCAGAAGGTAAGCATGCAATTCCCCCATCTACAGATCAGGAAGGTGGGTTTCAGAGAGATTAAGTGACCTGCCCAAGGTCAGAGAGCTAGAAAGAAGAAGAACTGACATTCCAACACCAAATCCAGAGCATTCCCTACTCTGCATCGCTTCCGTAATGACTTGAAGGAAACCCATGTAATATGCAGACCACAACCTGAAGACATAGCAGATATGTAAAGAGAAAGCTTAATGGCTCACCTCTTGGTAAGCAGGGCAATTTAGTGGCCTGGGAGATGGATGGTGTCTACTTTGGTAGCTATGTCACAGCTCAGCAGCGAAGACATTTATTTTAATACTCGGGAAATTCAGCAGTGATGTCCCTCCATGTCAATAGCCAGGCTGTAAATCTCTGGCTGCAGCAAGTTAATATGGTCAGTGTGCTTTCCTCCCTGTTCTTCAATTCCCTGATCATCCAGCATTAATTCTCAGGATCACACAGTTATTAGAGGCAAAAGAGACTGCCCCGAGTCCACGGAGACCTCATCACAGCCTCAAGTTCTTTGTAGAAACGGGCAAAGGATAAACCCTAAATCAACACGAAGTGGCCAAGGGCACAACAGGAGAAATCCACGTTTTCTACAGAGAAAAAACTACAGCCCACCTTTCTTGGGGGGGAAGAAAACCATAGGCTGCAACAGTTAGGACTGTGTAGATGGGCACCTAGAAATTTATAATTCCAAAATGATCATTTATAATTCTTTATCCACAATTTGCAATTAGTCTTGCAGAACAGAATTAAAGCCTTTGCTAAAATACTAGGGCATTTTGCACAGTAATTTAAACATCACCAGGATCTAAATGTCATCGAAAATGACAGGACTTTTTACGTGTGGTTCTGTAAAGTGCAGACAGCGCCCAGCGCAAGAAACCAAAAAAGTGGTAGCTGATCAAACTCGTGAAATTAAACTGTAAAACACTCAGCCTGTTCAATAAATCTATAAACATTTCCTTCCACATTTCGACACATTTTATATGACCAAAACAGGATCCAAAATAGCAAAGTCTGACAAAATGCATTCAAATCAGTGCAGATCTGTCCATCTAAAAACACCTTGAGAGGCTGCTATCTTGTTTCAAAACACTGAACTGTGCCTTATTACAGGTTTTTGTTTTTTTTTAAGATTTTATTTATTTATTAGAGAGAGTGTGAGCAGGGGGAGGGGCAGAATGGAGGGAGAGGGAGAGAATCTCAAGCAGACTCCGTGCTGAGCATGGAGCCCCATGTGGGGGCTCAATCTCACGACCCCGAGATCATGACCTGAGCCAAAACCAAGAGCTGGACGCTTAACTGACTGAGCCACCAAGGCGCCCGCAGGTTAGTGTGCATCTTAACACCCAATTAAATTTGGTCAAAATCAAGTAACTATATGCAAGCTTGAATCACAAAATATTAGCCCTCTGAGATTTAGTTATTGGACATGCTCGCCAACCCCCAGGTGGTGACAGAACCAAGAGAAATATCCTGGCCTCCCCCCTCTGGCTCAGCCCAGGGGTTCCACTACTCTATGCTGACGCTTTCATTCAAGATAAACGGCAAAATGCAAGTCCATGAATGGTGAGAATTAAGAAGAAGTCCCCACTGCCAGCCACCGATGCCCTCCAGCCCGGGGCTGACGCAGAGCTGGTCCACAGTGTGATGCCTGGTACTGGCTACCGCCTGGCGCCGACCACAGAATGACCCCTGAGCCATCCTCCCCAACCACCCCCAAGGGCCTCAAGAGCCTCTCCAAGAGCCAGTAACCGGAGGGCTGCTCTCCGGCACGGGAGCGGGTACCCCGGCCCTGCTGCCCGAGGCTGCTCTCACGGCTGCGCCCATGCCGCACCCGTTGTTAATTATTTTGAGAACCACCCTTCGCAAAACCACAAGTCATGATCAGAGCCATTCATCAAAGAACTAATTTGCGTAAGAGAGTTCTCTGTCTTCTGAATGTATGAACTTAATTAAAGCCCGGTTTAAGAAAACAAAACTTGGCCTACAATGAGCTCCTTCCCTTTCCCATATCTGGCTGCCAAGTTGCATCATATGCAAGAACATATCTGTATGCATCTCTCCCGAGCCAATCTAATCATTCATTCACTCAACAAACACTTATGTACTAGGCCAAAGACTGGGCTAGGCATTGGGATTTAGACGCGAATCCCAGTTCCCCACGCCGAGGTGCCCATCCCTGGTGTGTAGGGGCTCGAGTGAGGGGCAGCAGGAAGGTGGATCCTATAACGTCAACACAAGGATGGGCGTGCAAAGTGCCGAGTTCCAGGGAGGAAGAGGATATGTCACTACCAAGCAGGCTCAGGGAAGGGTGACGCTAGAGGGGTACTTCCAGGTATGTTCAGGAGTCACCCAGTAAACAGGGAGAGAAAAGCTGTTCCAGGAGATGGAACAGCACATGCAAAGGCACAGGGAGAGGTGCAAACACAGCGTTCTCAGGAATCTGCAAGAAGTCAGCTGTAGTTAGAGATGACAGGGAGCAACCTGAGGCCACACCAGGAAGGATCTGCTGGGCCAGTTTTTGTGTATATTTGGACAGGAAAATTTTCTTAACATAGAAATGACATACACAGAGATTACACAGTTGAGAGGTGAATCCTGGGACAGCAAATACGAGGCTCATCCCTAACGAGTGTGATTTACCAGTTTCCTGTGTGGTACAAATACCAGCGCTCAGCCCAAGGATACTCACCTATAAGGCGGACAGACTAAGAACCCTCCTCCTAACCTCTTATAAGTTCAATCACTGGCAGGAAGGAATTGGAGGGGCTCTAGGTAAGAGGAGTTATCACACACAGGTGTGATGCGTGTGATACGAATTCACACTGCAGACGTCCAAGTCCAGTCAAGCTTACCTCCGAGAAGATGCGGTGTCTGCCTAGTGACTGCTGCAAAGAGCACTTTGCTGGTAAGCCCTCAGTCCTGACCCTGAGCTCCCCGCCAGTCTGTGAAGGACAATTCTGCTGTACTGCTTCCGACCCTTTTTCACTGAATTTCTAAGGAAACAAAACAAATCATGAGGAAGTTTTCACCAAGAGAAAAAATATTAACAGATTGTCCAAAACTCTTTAAGGGAAAATATCTTATTTTTTTCTTCACATTATTTTCCTCAAAAAAATTTCCATCATCTCCAAATAGTAGGCGATTACAAAAATAATGCAAGTGCATTTGTTATTTACCACCAGGGGAAAAGCAGCCCACAGAAATGGTGTAGGCGGGGTGGTGGTGGTCATTACAAAGCGCCCTTCTCCCCACCACCCTTCTCCCCGGCCACCCAGCGGGGATGGAGGACCAAGCCCAGGCCCTGGCCCCACGGGACAGGTTCCCATCCTGGGGCCCCTCAGCCAGGGTGTGGTCTCTGGGTCTGTTTCCTAGCCTACGGGGTTACCGCGGTGTGTATCACAACCCAACAAAACCCAGTCTCTCTCAAAACATCACAAATTTGACAAAACTTGAACCATCCTTATCTACGAGGAGATTTGACTTCTAGGAAGAAAGGCTGCAAATGTTGTTTTGGGGTCTGGTCACATGTGAAAGGGTCCTTCCTGATGATGCACCTCCCTGACCCCTTCAGAAGATCTGGCATTCAACAACAGGACAGGACTGGAGACCGTCTCTCTGGTCTTTTGGCCAAGTTCAAGCATAAAATCTATTCCTAACTATTTAAAACCTAGTAACTCCTTAACGAGGTCTCTGTCCACTCTAGGTCAGAAATTAAGGGCAAGGGGCGCCTGGGTGGCTCAGTCATTAAGCGTCTGCCTTCGGCTCAGGTCATGATCCCAGGGTCCTGGGATCAAGCCCCGCATCGGGCTCCCTGCTCCGCGGGAAGCCTGCTTCTCCCTCTCCCACTCCCCCTGCTTGTGTTCCCTCTCTCGCTGTGTCTCTCTCTGTCAAAT